CATGAGATATTACTAAAATTTAATAATAAAACATTGTAATTACCTCAAGCAAATAACTAGAACTTATTTAAAATTCTATCAACAGCCAAAGTTGATTCTAACAATAAATGTTGATCTGTGAAACAACTTTACTAACTTAAAATAAATGACTTACTATTTTTTGTCATATTCACACATTCATATGGTATGGGACTAAAATACATTATATAGAAAATGGTAAAATAAAAAGTTTAATAGTCAATTTTAATTTATTGAAACAAATAATCTCTTTATTATTAGTATATACTTATAAATTTTAAACAATTCCACAGAAAATTTGAAATTAATATCTTAAGAATGTTTTATTATTATTATGATTTTTGGGAAATTGAAAAAAAATATTTATACATAATTAATTAATTAATTACAAATAAGTGACGAGTCAGCATATTTTATATATTTTTAATAGGAAAATAATAAGATTTTTAAAATATTTTTTTGCGGAATATTAACAAAAGCTAACTTATAGATTGTGGTTTTATTTAGAAGTACTCTAATTAAAATATGTTCCCTGTAAATATTATATTATTGTGTCATTTTATAATAAAGTTATAGGCCTTAAAAAAAAATCAAAATGAGGGTCACGAAATGTGGAGGAAAATCCCATAGTAAAAAAGTGCCTTTGAGGTCCCTACTAAAAAATTCATAACTTTTGAACCACTTGAGCTAGAAAGTTGATCTTGGTGTTTTTGTAATCTATTCTCCAGGCTCTATACAGCTGTAGTATTTTTATATTTTTAAAAAATGTTTTGAAATTTTAATTAAAGTGCCTAAAATGGGCCTTGGTATTGTAAAGTCAACAATAACAAAGTATTGTTGTATACCCCAACCCCAGGCCTATTCACTGAATTCTGCAAGTATAAGATCTTAAGTTTAAGATTGAAGTAAGAAAAATACTTAATTAAGAAGACTTAAACTAATATTAATATTCTTTTTAAATTTGAAATGAAAGAGTAAAACTGAAGAGGCAAACACAATTTTAAAATCCTTTAATTTTAAATCAAGTATCCTAGTTAGTAACCCAGATCTTGATTTATTATTAGAATTAAGCCTATTAAATAACCAATGAAAATGTAAAAAGTTGGTAAATTTGGACTTTCAGCGCCATGAAAGGTCACAAGTCATGGCAGTTAAGGTGGCAGCCTTTTAAAAAAGACAACATGTCTGCTAAAATAGGGAGCGGGAAGGGAGAGAATGTGCTGGTTTAGCTTTTTACCAAGAGAAACGAAAATCGGAACAATACATTAATGAAATAATTTCAGCTGGTACATAAATTTTGGTGCGAGCGAAGCTACTTTATTGTATCCCTCTAAATATGTGTCAAAACCTGCGGTTGCTTCCTTTCCTTGCAAAATTTGAGCTGGTACATGTTCCCTTCCCTCCCCTTTACTAAAGACGTGTGTGGCTACAGTTACACACCGTGGTAAGAAAACTGTAAAAAGTAAAGAAAAACAATAGAAAATAATTTTAAAATAATGAAAACCCAACTTACAGTTCCATAGAATACACCTATATATCGGCATCCTTCCGTCTCGTGAGACGATGGTGCATCACCGTTGGGTTGGGTTGCAAGAATACACTTATACACACTTTATTTCAGGTTCTAACAAAAAAAATACAAAAGTTGTCAGAAAACCAATACATTCTCATTTTCCAAAATGCCTGAAAATTTAAATATTATAATTAACCAATCAATGAAATTTTAATTTAAAACATTGCAATCACATCACTGAGTGATTCACTGTATTAAATAAAAGTTAACTCTAGTAACAAAACAAGAATAAACAAAGGGGAGTGAATTCAACACAGAAACTTAACATAAACACATAAATGAATGTCATTGCGCAGATTGTTATCTTAAGCCAAAAAGTCTCCTCTAAAAAGAATTATTTATAATAACTTTTGATAACATTTTTGGGCCCTGCAAATTTCATTTAATATTCAAGCTGGATTTCATCAAAACCATAATTTGTAATCTAACTTTCACCAATGTCCAAGCTATGGTCGTTTATCACTTGAAATGAAATAGGAACCCAGTGGGATCTAGTACCTGATTGGATCCCGTTCCCCCTGTGAAACCTTTTTACTGGTGGGATCACATTCCATAGGTTGGATCCCATTCCAGATGTAGGATTCCTTAACCTGTGGGTGGCGAACCCTTTGGGGGGTCGAACGACCCTTATACAGGGGTCCCCTAAAACCATCGGAAAAACACATTTTTATGAAGTAGCAACGAAAATAATTTTATTGTTGGGGGGGTCATCACAACATGAGGAACTGTATTAAAGGGTCACAGCATTAGGAAGGTTGAGAACCACTACCCTATAGGATCCCATTCCACAGTTGGATTCAGTTCCCTGATGGATCCTATTTATTAGTAGGGTCTTGCTTCACAAGGGATCCCGTTCCATGGGGTTCACTTAAAGTTATCCCTAAGTATCCATCAAAATTCTACCTGAAAGAAATGTGTTTTGTGCAATAATCTAATATTTGTAAATATATAAGTACTTTTGTTTATGGTTCTAAAATTTGTGTTTTTACTTTCATGATTTTTGTTAAGAGGGGGGGGGGGGACGACACTCTATCTTTTGTTTCTTTTTAAAACAACATGTAATTATCCTCAGTAACACTGGGCCTGGTTCAAGCGCTGTGGTGAAGAAAGAGACAATGGATATTTTCTTCTCTTCCCTTTTTCTAATATTTGTAAATATATAAGTACTTTTGTTTATGGTTCTAAAATTTGTGTTTTTACTTTCATGATTTTTGTTAAGAGGGGGGGGGGGGGACGACACTCTATCTTTTGTTTCTTTTTAAAACAACATGTAATTATCCTCAGTAACACTGGGCCTGGTTCAAGCGATGTGGTGAAGAAAGAGACAATGGATATTTTCTTCTCTTCCCTTTTTGTGGTTGTCACACCATTTTTGGGGATGTATCTACTATCAGCAACCAGGATGTTTGACGAGGTTGCTCTTGAGATTGGTTTTCAACACTATGCAGAAAAGCCATGGCTGCCACTGATTGGCAACTTTATGCCCTTGAACACCTTAATTAATTTTGCATATTTTGGACTCGGCCTTTACTGGTGTGGCATGACTAGAGCCCTAAATGAACAAGGCATTTTAAAAAATAATGATACTGCTATGTTTTACATATTCAATATTATGAGTTGTTTATATGGATGTGTTCAGCTATTAAGAATTTTAACCCAAGACGTTACTTGGGCAGTCATGGACCAGTGGTGCACATTACCCTTCTTTGCCATCTTATTAGTTTGGGGACTCTACTACAAATGTGGATGGTCCAGTAAACGAGGGGTCCTCATTATAAACTTGTCATTATTGAGCTATGCTTTAAGTCTTTGTGTTGACATTGGTTTCGAGATAGCCTTAGGGCTTCATGTTGTCTGCGCCATCTATGGGGCTGTTATTGCGTACAGGAAGCACCCAGCAGCAGAGAGTATGCGATACTTTAACCTTGCTTTGCTTTCCTGTACTGGCTTTGTTATTTTGAAACTTCTGGATCATCATATGGCACATGCATTTTGTATATTTAAATATATGTCAGGTCACTTTCTTAGCAAAATTTGTGATGTTTTGCAGATACATTTTGTTAATAATTTTTTTCTTGATTTGACATTGCAAAGAGCGGCCGATTTAAGTATTGATGAGAAAAATAAATTCTTTGCAAATTATGAAAAACAGTATCAAAGGTCTTTATCAAATGATATTATGTATGAAGTTATAAGACGGCCAAAAGATAAAATGTTAACTTGAAGATTTAAAAAGTAACTATTTGTAAAATGTTCAATTCAATATCATTGCTGTTTTGCCTGTTGATTATTTGACACTCATTTGACCAAGGTATGGTCTTAAAATATATATACTGTTATTTGTGAATCAAAATAATATTCAATTACATGATTACTGAATGACTTTATTGGACAGTATGAGTAATTGCTTGCATAAAAGAAAGAAAAGTGCATTGAACGATTTTTTTAATGTGCACCTTACTTTTTTATTTTTTTTTTTTTTTTGGGGTGGAAAATAGCTTAATGCTTAATCCCATCTCAAATCAGCTCGTTTTACTGGTATTAGAATAAAAATCAAATTATTGTTTATATTTTTATTTTAATTGAGAAGTGCCGGACAAATCACTTACTTCAAGTAAAAAAAAGGATATGTTTTTTCTTCAATTTAAAATTTTTAATGTGAATTTAGGTATCAGTTGATGTAAATAACAGAACATTGATGGATTTATCAGATCAGTTATACAATTTTTATTTCACACATTAACACCACTTTTGTCTAATGTTTTTTAAAATTATTTTCACATTTACATGGTTTGTTTTCATCTGCTATCTATTTGTTTGTAGATTTTAAAATAAGAATATTCAGAGCTGTGCCATAGAAAAATGCACTATAGACTTTTAATAGTACTGTACAGAGTACAACTGTTGAATTATAGTAGCGTCAGTTAACCACTCCTTGGCATATTTTTAAAGGTTTATAATTCTCAAGCTTTTTATTTTGTTTTCAGGAGCTTTTGCATTTTTACCCTTAACATTTAAGTGTTTAGATTAATCATAAGTTCATATCTGCAAAACACCTAGTTAAGCATGCAATTTAACTTGGACAATAAAATATATCTTGGTGGAAATTAATACCCTTTCCCACCTCATTAATTAAAATTGTTACACTCTCAATGAGACTGTTCATGTTAACTTATAAAGAACTGTCTTGGAAATAGAAGATAAAAGGGATAAATGTTCTTATTCATTTTATTGTTATGCACATGCATATTGAGACTTTAGTATTATTTTAAGGCAAAAATATCTTCAATGGTTAACTGTAATAAATAAAGTGTGTACATGTATTTTATTTTAAATCTTAAGTGTAGTTAACGATTTTTAATTTTGCTTACAGTCGTTTTTTTTAACATAATACATTAAGGATGAATATAGATAAAGCATTTAACACACAGGAATGTTTTACCAGCTTGTCATGTGTTTTTCAGTATAAGGATGAAATTTTACTACGTAAGTTACATGTGGCCATAATTTTTAATTGAGTAAAACTTTTGGCAGCTAAATCCAAAAAAGATTTTTTTGGAATAAATTGTGTAAATTATTATTATGGTCTTCAATTAATGTTATTAAGTTAAATATGTTAACCAAAAATGTATTTTTTACTACTGATATTCATAAAAATGTATTGAACAATTTGATATTTTAAAATTAATAAAACAACACACATATATAAATATCCTTAAAAACTCTTGCTTTTTATTTTCACAATCTTCCAAGTACAAAACAGTTGACTCGTATTAAAAAATAAAGTTTGATGATTTAAAAAAAATTCATGAAATTATTGTTACAGTCTGTGTGACTAGATCTATTTGTAGGGTGCTCAGAAAAATGATATGATGTATCAATATCATATAGTAAACTAACGACAGCAATAGCTGGCATTCACAGATCCTTGGATGAAATATTTTTAGAAAACTTTCACTGTGGTAAATTAATTAAGATAGCAATGGTCACAGTAACATAAAGTGGCTGTTTTGAACAATATTTGAAAAATACTGACAACACCTTCATCAATTTATTAATGTAAACAATTTTCTTTAGTTAATAGAATAGAAATAACTTAATATTTCTTTTGTGAACATTTTGTCAAGCTGTTAAAGTTTCTAAGCATTTTAATCACATCTGTTAGTTGGTGCTTATCAACAGCAATGACATGACACACATACAAATTACTGCTCTTACTGCTCTAAAAGATAATTGCCATATGAGATTCCATGTAAATGTTAATTTGGGAATGAAAAGAACTGATATAGTTTATTACTAATTTATGGTCCAAATAAGACAGTGGTTGGGTTTGGTTGGTTTCGTAATCTATTATCTCAACAGAAACTAGATAGCATCTCTAGGAAATGGATGCGTATCTCGAGGAAATAGATGCTTTAACAGTCAGAATTGAAAAATAGTACAAGTAAAAAATGAGAAGACAAGAGTTAACATAAAAAGAAGTGGTCCTCTAGCTCTTCCCCCCCCCCCCCCCCTTTTTTAAAAAAATTTAAAAAAACATACATAAACTCATTTTCTTCAATAGCAATACATTTTAGTATATTGGCAGCATCATGGAAGTAACACACAGATCTAGTACCAGTAGGAGCTTACTACCGAGTTCATAATAAACAGTGTAACTATTCTAATATTTGTGCTCAGTTAAAAAAAAGGGGGAAAGCACATCCTAATTTAAAATCCTAACTTAAAAGCACAAAATGTACTGTAGTTACTCAGAAATTTTTTAAGAACCCACACTAAGTATTAGCAGCAATAAAGAGAAACTACTAATAATAAAATATGCAGATAGATTTTTTTGAAAAATCTGGGGAAGAAAAAAATTAATTCTGTGACAGTAACAATATGTTTGCTCAGTACACAATTCTGTGACAGTAACAATATGTTTGCTTTGCACAGTACACAATTCTGTGACAGTAACAATATGTTTGCACAGTACACAATTCTATGATTGTAACAATATGTTTGCACAATACATGTCCTGTTGCACTCTAAAATTGGATTTTAAATTGTTTTGTGCAAATTTTAAAAATTTTGATTCTGTAAACATAAACCCAATTTTTTTCTTTGACATCCGCATGAAGTTTAACACTTCTGCCTACCAAGGCAGCTTTCCATACAGATTTCTGTTTTATTAAGTACATGGAATCATCACTTATTTTAAGCATGTTTAACATGACTTATGATATATATATAATATAATAAACATATAGCATACATCTGTCATCCTTCAACAGTATATTGTATTCAAACAAATATACTATGTTAAGAAAACTATTAAACTGTAGGAATAATATTATGTACAATCTGCTAAAATTACACAAAGGGTATTAATTTACTCCCAAATAGCTTTACTTTGATGCTTTGTTAATTTCAGCCTTTCAGGAAGTTTATGTCTAGGGTAATTTATAATTTATATGGAAGTTTCAATTGTTAAAATTTGAACTTGAAAAGGATGAATTTACGGAATTTCAAAGCATTTTTTTTTTAACTTGAAAAGGTATTTACTATACTGAACACTATATAACAATTACTGTCTATGTTAAGAAAATGTACACTCTTCAAATGAGGCTCTCATTTTCGTTTTTGCCTATGTAATCTCTTATGGAATGTCTTTAAAAAAATTTCCAGCAGATATGCTATTATTTCTACAGTTTTTTCTCCTGGATATCAAAATGTTCTGATTACATGAGTTCAAACAGAAAGTCAAGTAAATATAAATTCTACAAGTTAAAGTGGCCATAAACAGACACACTATTTATATAAGGACCAATTCAATTTTATTTCTCATTAATTTAACATTTTAAATACCACAATAAAGTTAAATGATGCAGTAAAAAGATTATCACAAATTTAATAAATGATGCCGTAAGTGTGATTTAATAAAATGTTCTGAACAAATCAAAAGTTATACCATTATATTAAATTATACATGAAACAAATGCCATTTTGTTTGTTGTATTTATCCTAAATGTTAATATTGCATAGGAACCTTAAAATTTGCTAGGTTAATTTTTATAAAGATTTTTTTTTGATTTTTTTAAATTAAATTTTTCTAAACTGATTAAGAATAACCATTACAACAAGAAGAAACTCATTTCATTGTTTCACAGTCATAATGTATGATAATAAATAAATAAATAGTACTCATTTGCTCATTTTGTAAAAAAAAATTAATTAATTTTGAAGAACAAGATTTTATTTTTAGGATGTTTTATTTTTGAAACAGTTTAAAATGTTTGTACATTTACACTGTACATTTACACACATTTTCATAGGACAGAATCTTTTGACTGAATTGTCACAGTCCATACATTTTGATCCACTATGGATATATATATATAAAAGTGTAACGTAATAATAGTAATTTGTATGGTTTCATGTATTCATAATATATATATATGTATAGAATTGAAATTACTTTGTATTTTAAAATAATATATGTACACTCTGGAGTTATTTACAAATGATACAATTTTGATGGAATGATCAGTGGCAGGAAATGGACACACACAACTATTAACCATACTAGGGTGTTACCAGATGCAGTTTTTTTTGTAGGCTGGGTCCTGGTATTTTGATAAAATACTCAGTGAGTCCAAGTAAACGTTTTATTTTCTATAATATATGCCTGCCTTTAAATAGTAGGCCTACAGACAGTCCTACACCCTACCTACCAGCCTTTCCAGCCTTTAAAAAATAGTCCTACACCCTACCTGCCAGCCTTTAAACAATAGTCCTATAGACAGTCCTACACCATACCTTTGACTCTTTATCCATTAATATAATATTGGCCTCCCACTAAAGAAAGAAAAAAAAACTATTTACCCGAGTTTAACTGTCGCACATGATGCTGGCTTTTTTTTTTTCCCTTAGTACTATTAATATAAAAAATATGTGCAGTTGGGGGTGGGGGTTGAAGAGGAAGCAGGACACACCAGAAGCAAAATATACATAAGACATGTCGCTCTTGAACTAATGGGATTCAAGGAAGAAATAAGGAGCATGAAAACTAAGTCACTTAGGATTCACAATTTATATAAGATATCTATCTTGAGCTATCTTTTCCTATTACCAAAAATGATCACTAAAAATGGATCATAATTTGATAATGAAACAATGGGTATGATAAGTTCTATGAATTTATATCACCAAATGAAACTCTTAATGTTATGACATGAATACCAGGCAATGAAGTCAGTGTAACACAGGGAATGACATATTTTGAGATGTGTATAAACTTTGTATAAACAGGCATTGTGTAATACATATTCATCACTTTGAAACAGGTTATGCTAACAGGCAAATAAATGCTTTATAAAATAAATGAACTTTTCTTCACATGAAAAAAATAAAGGTAAATATTAGTGCATATGTTATATTATAATTTTTTAAAATTCTTGCCTTGTGTCTGATATATCGGTTACAAGGACCTAGTTTAATTATTAAAAGTATATATAGTAGTTGCACTACCCTGGAAATTAGAAACATTTTGATGTTTGAAATAATCTTTGTATGAAATCTGTATATAGAAATGTTCATTGCATTAAAAAATAATCTAATCTCCACACAAACATTTTTTTAAAATGTCTTGATACCTGTGTCATTGTTTTTTAGCGAAGAAACAGATTCCGTTCTTTTAAGCAAAGAAAGTATTTATTCTTTACCTTATGTGTAAATGAAAAAAAAAAAATTTCAGTCTTTACCTTAGAGTGTACAAACTGTAATTTTCTTTGATAATTTTTGTAATTTAAATATTTAAAATGAAAATGAGATGGTGCTTTACACAACAGATGTACATTTTAATTAAAGGATAACTCAATACTGTTGGTTGATTTAAGTGTTCACACCAGAACTCCACAAGGAGAGTTACACAATGATTGGACAAAATATAGGCTAATCTTAGTGATTTTAGGGCTTCATAGATTTTTAACAAAAAAATCTAAAATCCCTTTTGAGCACAATTTAAACACTCTATCAACATTTGCTTCAGATTACAGCAGATTAAGTAAGAAATTATTCTAAACACGAGAATGGCCTTACATAAAACCAAGGCATTTATCAGTACAAGACAGAATTTATTATTTACAAATATCTTTGTTGGGACTCCAAGCAAGGAAGACTGATAATTTAATTGTTATATTTCTTAGCAATGTGTAAAATTAAACATCCATTTCATACATTAAGGGACAAATGCCATTTTCATGTCTGTCTGGGCAACTCATTATCTCCCTTGAGACCATAACTGTTGTATTTCAACATTCAGTATGTGCACAGCAGTTATCAAATGGAGAAGTTGTGTACAGTTTATATGTATCCCTTCAGCTTAACTTAAATTATTGCTTTTTAAATTACAAAACATGAATGCTTTGAGGAAGAAATATTTACCAAGCAAGCGCTATGGACTTAATTTAAATAATTATTTTGGGGGAAAATAATAGCACAAGTATGTTTCACAAATGGCAGCTCTTATCAACGTCTCTTTAATTTCTTAAAAATGGTTTGGTATAACTGCACTGATAATCTTTGATCTTGACAAATAGTTATCACATGGGTACACCTAACGTCATGTCGAAAAAACAATTTTCATAGCAATTTATTAAATTGTTCACCGTTAGAGGTCCTCTAATACTTCTTAAATGAAATGCAAATACTGTAATAAAAATGCATCGCAATCATGCCACATGTCCAAATCATCTCCAGATGAGACACAAGTTTTACCCTTCAAAGTCACAGTTACACACAACTGAAATTAAGACAGCAGAGAAACACCTATGAGGTAGACTGGTTCTATACTGGAGTTCTCTCTAACACGATGCTGCCATGATTGTCTGCCTTTGGTATTACAGATCCTCCATTAGACTCCAACACATCTTCACTAAATTCAACACCTTTCCCTCCATCATCATTCAAGTCTGCTTCTTTACTGGAAGAGTTCGATGTGTTGTTGTTGTTACCATTTTGTGATGGATTTTCCTGAGGATACAAAATTAGATTATAACTGGTGTAATACCAGGTACCTGTGTGTAGTCTGAAACAAAACATTCCATTTTTTTTATATAGCAGGATTTCATTATTCCATGATGTTTGCTTGGCTATATGGACAAATATTTGACTTGTCCCTGTATCAGACCACTGATTTCATTATTCATGATGTTTGCTGGGCTAAATGGACAAATAACTGACTTACCCCCGTATCAGACCACTGATTTCATTATTCATGATGTTTGCTTGGCTAAATGGACAAATAACTGACTTACCCCCGTATCAGATCACTGATTTCATTATGCATGAAGTTTGCTTGGGCTAAATGGAAAGATAATTGACTTACCCCTGTAACAGACCACTGATGAAGCTGGGCACTGACTACAGCGTCATGAATGGTTAAAAACATGTAATTCTTGCTTCCCGTTTTATAGAAATTAGTGCATTCAAACATTTCCCGTACACTCGCTGAAAAATAATATGTTAATAGTTTTAAACAGATTCTAGAGTTAATAGTTTTAAACATTTTCTAGAGCTAATAGTTTTAAACAGATTCTAGAGCTAATAGTTTTAAACAGAATCTAGAGTTAATAGTTTTAAACAGATTCTAGAGCTAACAGTCTTAAACAGATTCTAGGGCTACCGGTCTTAAACAGATTCTAGAGTTAATAGTCTTAAACAGATTCTAGAGCTAACAGTTTTAAACAGATTCTAGAGCTAATTGTCTTAAACAGATTCTAGAGCTAATAGTTTTCAGGAAAACAAATTTTTATCCTTAAGAAATTTAATAAATTGTCTGCTGGGTAATATAAAGTTAGTGTCCACATCCAAATAATACAATAATATCATGAAAGCAGAACTGCACTTTAAATTAATATTCACTGTAACAAAAACCTTCTTAAAACACTGGGGATAACAAGGATTGATAAAAAAAAAAACCCGCAACTCTTCAATAACTGCTTACATTTACACTGTGCTAAATATACGGTGATGTTGAAAGCTCTCAATTCTGAAATAACCTGCAAAAAATTTGTAGTAAACAGAAGTGTGATTATTTTAATTGAAAGGCAAAGAAACTTTATGACTTACAGATTTCATTGTTCATTGTCATCCATTTTTGTTTTGTTTTCTTTTTAAAGTCACAAATATTAAATTCATAGATGAAATGATAACCCCCTAGGGTGACCAAACGGTCTAAACTGACTCAATCCAAATACAGCCAGTGCTCAACTTATGGCCTGTGCAACTTTACGGGCACAATCACTAGCCATATTAGATTTAAGATTTATTTCCTCCATCAAGTATCAGTCACACAGTGTTGTCTGCAATCATCGGCGGTCATTAACTAAGGAAAGGGAGGCAGCCGGCGTCATCAATTTCTAAGAAATAACACGGTCACACTCAATAACCCTAGGTCCATTGACTTCCCGAAGCGTGACTAAAGTTTGTTGATTGGAGAGCTCTTCAGAGTTTGAACATTTGAACTCCCATCGAAAACCATGATTTATAACAATAATTTAAAAAATTTATGATATAATTTAACTAAAATATTTGTATAACATTACTCCACATTACTGTACACATAGCGTACTCAACTTACGACCAAATCGTGTTACGACCGGTCTTTCGGAACCAATCATGGTCGTAAGTCAAGCACTGGCTGTAGCTAGTCGTCTTGAGTTCAATCCCCACCAAGCCAAGACAGGCAAAAACATCCCAAGCTAACCTGATGGATGGGACTCAATAGATTTGGACAGCAACTCATCTAAGAGATGGCCAACTCTGAATTTAAAACCAGGACCCAGAATGATCAATTAATTGATCGTGGGCCCTCAAATATATTTATGTATATAAAAAAAAAAATAAGGCAAGTCAATCAAGAAAATTAAAAGAACCTTTTTTTTTTAACAGAGGCAGAAAAAAACACTTTTTCCTTTCCTCTTAAATGGTGTTCCCATCCATCATGGCACTGATCATATTGTCAAATGTCACGGCACAAAGAAGCACTGATCATATTGTCAAATGTCACGGCACAAAGAAGCACTGATCATATTGTCAAATGTCACGGCACAAAGAAGCACTGATCGTATTGTCAAATTTCATGGCACAAAGATGCACTGATCATATTGTCAAATGTCATGGCACAAAGAAGCACTGATCATATTGTCAAATGTCACGGCACAAAGAAGCACTGATCGTATTGTCAAATTTCATGGCACAAAGATGCACTGATCGTATTGTCAAATGTCATGGCACAAAGAAGCACTGATCGTATTTTCAAATTTCATGGCACAAAGATGCACTGATCATATTGTCAAATGTCATGGCACAAAGAAGCACTGATCATATTGTCAAATGTCACGGCACAAAGAAGCACTGATCATATTGTAAAATTTCATGGCACAAAGATGCACTGATCATATTTTCAAATGTCATGGCACAAAGAAGCACTGATCAAATTGTCAAATGTTAATATCACGATAAGCCGGTTTATAATTTCCTAACGTCATTAATTAAAAAAGCTGCATCCCGAAGAGCAGTGCCTCACGTCCCACATACAATCAACAGTCATTAATTTAATCATTAAAAGTACCTGCTGTAATACTTTAACCCCCATAGAATCCACATAGCTCATCGTAGAACAGTCTATTACGATATAATGAACATCTGTTAAAGTTGGGGCTTGTGTCATAAAATTTGGATCTTTGCCTGCACCTTCACCCTGCTTCTTGGCGCTAGTTATATTTGTGTTCATGTTTGGTCCAGGCACTTGCTTGTCCATTTCTGCTTCATCGTCTGCTTCTGTTGCTTGAATGTCAGCGCTGCCCACGGAATCCTGCAATAAAACAGATTCAAATTTTTAAAAAAAAATGTTCACAAGAGGGGAATTTATTTGTATTTGGAAAAATTTATTTCATAATTTAAACCAACAAAAGTTTGCAGCTTATTTTAATATGAGCCCTGATGTGCCCTAAATATAGAATATGGCTGTAAAACTATAGAATATGACAGTAAAACTATAGAATATGGCAGTAAAACTATAGAATATGGCCGTAAAACTATAGAATATGGCCGTAAAACTATAGAATATGGCCCTAAAACAATAGAATATGCTCTAAAGCTATAGAGTATGGCCCTAAAACTTTAAAATATGGCCCTAGAACTATAGAATATGGGCCTAAAACTATAGAATATGGCCCTAAATCTATAGAATTAGAATATTGGCCGCAATTAGAATATGCCCCTAACTATAGAATATTGGCCCTAACTAGAATATGGCCCTAAAACTAAAGAATATGCTCAATATATTATGTAGTTTTAAATGTACAATCACTGACTGATTTTAAAATGAATTTCCTGAAATAAATTGGGATCAGGGCTGATTAATACTGTCTATATTTAAATGATAATTGTTTTGTTAAATCCAACTTTTAAAAAAAAATGTTTTCTTATTTTTACAAATCTGTTTATTTAAAGAATTTATTATGCCATTTCCCTAGGTCCAAATTTTTTATAAACTTCTTAAAATTCTTAAGTTCCATGTACTTAATAATATGTTCTAATTTATCAACGTATTTAACACTTACAACAGTAATGTTTAACAGTTGATGATCTTCTTTCTTCTTTTTCTTATTGAGTTTCCTCTGGATCTTCTTTAAGTTGTTGGGATCCACTGTCAGCTTGTAAAGAGAACTTTTAAAAAACTCAGAATTTGCAAAAAACAAGGCACAGTCGAAGCGGAAAATCTTGATGTTAGGAATCTCTTCAGCCTGTGAACAATAGTATAAATGAATCCAACAATAAAATCAGACGGTTGAAAATATTGTTTATGATAAAGGATTCCATTTCAATAATTAATTCTTAATAAATGCAAGTGCACTCATAAGCACTTAGTACTTGCATGGGGATAGGAGGGCAGTACTTTTGATTGCGCTTTATTTAAGTAAAACAACAATCATTTCCACATTCGAGCTAAGAGCATTTTTCAGTTAACATGAAATATGCCAATTACCTGGATCTATGAATATGAATAACTAATTATACAAGCAATGGCAATCTTTTCAAAATGTCAAGCTTAAATAAAACTTCACCCAACATAATTTACTGACTCGGGCGCATATTGATACAGGGGCATTTCAACACAGGAAAACACTGACACACACACACTGATATTTATGACCTTCAGACTACTTTCATGCATTTAAAAGTTTGACTTATGAAGAGCGCATGAATACAAGAAACTTACAACTTTGTAGACATCAACATCTTTGTAGATGTCTGTGCCTGGCACTTGACCCAGTAAACAAGCATAAGGCCTTGAGTAATGAAACATAAACCAACATAATTATACATAATTGATTAAAAAATAATGAACTGACTACAAACAAAAAAATAAAACATTTGAAATCAATAAATTTAATCAATTGCCCAAGCAAAAGACACTGCAGCTGAAATAATTTTGGTTTGTTATTTTTGTTTCGGATGTGTGTCGTAATTGACTGAAATCCTAATTGTCCACTTGATTCAACAATAATTGTATAGATGCACAATTAACAATATCTCTAGACAAACACAAATAAAATATTTTTGACCCATAGAAATACTTTTGTGAAAAATTAAATCTATTTGTGCTGAATATTGATTCATCTTAAGGCATCTCTCCATACCTCTGGGATTTCATGATGACAGTCAGCAGGGCAAACACAACACCAACAAGGAGGCCAAGGTCAACATCCAGGAAAACTGTGGCAGAAAATGTGATCAACCAGGTCGCCTGAAGGGGGGGGGGACGGGACGGGACGATGACAACCAGATACTTATTGTGTCAACATTTCTATCATTATTTGTATATCTCCAGAATTCCATATTTCTTATGATTTGTAAACTTGGTATGATCACCACCTAAAATAACCTGAGCTGTCTGACTCCACCAGTAATTACACACTTTATTAATGCAATAATGAGATTAAAACTTTTTTTTAACCAAGCTAATCCAGTTCAGTGCAAGGCTTTCTATAGTTTCTCCACATGATTAAGAACGAACATGTGTCTCTTCTTCTGTGTCATAGGTCAAAGGGTCAAATGGAAGCTGAAATCCTATTGTTCCATTCAAAATGACCTTTGGGTCGATGTTGGGATAGCTAAACAGAACCTCATTCTTAGCGAGGTTTGATCATTACATATCTACGTAATATACTGAAAGCTTTTACCCAGAATCCACACATTATTACCGGTAGTGGTAGTAACTACTTCCAGTAATAAGCCATATTTACAAATCTATTGGTGTAGTTCTTAGCAAAAATGCAATTTCCAGAAATGGCAGTAAAGAAAGTTGGAATTAGGCATGAATCGGGGGAATTTTCTCCCTCTGAGCGGGTGACCGATTACCCTGGCATTAATCGATGCTTCTTTAATCGGATCTAACCCTGCATTTTTTAAATGGGACATTAAGTGCTTGCTTGAGGCTATTATGATATTCGAGTGCTTGCTTCAGGCTATTATGACATTCGAGTGCTTGCTTCAGGCTATTATGACATTCGAGTGCTTGCTTCAGGCTATTATGACATTCGAGTGCTTGCTTCAGGCTATTATGACATTCGAATGCTTGCTTCAGGCTATTATGACATTCGAGAGCTTGCTTTAGGCTATTATGACATTCGAGTGCTTGCTTCAGGCTATTATTACATTCGAGTGCTTGCTTCAGGTTATTATGACATTCAAAAGCTTGCTACAGGCTATTATGACATTCGCGTACTTGCTTCAGACATTATGACATTCGAGTGCTTCCTTCAGGCTATGATGACGTTGGAGCACATTTTTAAAGAAAGTTGCACACATTGACTTTGAGGCGATAAAGGGAGATCAAAGAAGGGAGATTCTAAATATTAAATCCTCTTTTCTCCGCCTCATCATGTACCATAGGGCCACAGATAAAGTTACAAGGGCTGAGGTCTTATTTGCAAATTTCATTGCAATCACAGTCTAAAATTAACAAACACCCTCATTTGGTTTTTCAAACCAATACAGAAATTATCAAGATGGCAAAGTTTGCATGCATTCAAAACATTTATTATGAAATAAACAAGTTTGATCAAATGCAACTTTTTTAAATTCTTCTTTTTGTTCTGCACATTTTTTTCATGCTGTTGTACATTTTTGGGGGACTTTTTTTTTGGAAAAGTTATTTGTTGGATTTTTTGTACAGCCTTTGATCCCGCAGGTTGGCTAACACGCATAGCCTCCAAAATGTAAAAGAGTTGTTTCCCCAAATATTTAACAATTGTGTAAAATAGATTTCAATAATTTTAGGAATCGATTTATAGTTAAACCATAACACTACACTCACAAAGTCAATCAGTGATATGAATTGATTCAGAGTTAAAGCATTACACTACACTCACAAAGTCAATCAGTGATATGCCCCACAGTGTCTTCAGATCCCCAAACTGTTTGAACATTCCTTTCAGAGCCACCAGGATGATGGCTGCCAAAACACACTGTTGAAAAGGGAGAAAATTAGGAGCTGAGTTTCTAGCCTCGCAAATTTAAGCTTTAAGAACCACCAAGTCTCATATAGGAAATGGTAACAAGTCTCATGTAGGATATGGTAACAAGTCTCATGTAGGAAATGGTAACAAGTCTCATGTAGGATATGGTAACAAGTCTCATGTAGGATATGGTAACAAGTCTCATGTAGGAAATGGTAAAAGACATGGCGTTAATTTAAATCTAAATTACTTTAACTCCACTGTCTTTAGTAAATAATATTATAATTACAAATACATTGTTTACTTAGGGCAGTATACTGATAAAAGACTAGCTTTGCAGATTTTTAAAAAAATTTGAATGTGAAAAACATTGCTTCTGAATATCAACTAATTAAGAAAATACTAAAATCCACCTTATTTAATTGTTTAGCGTAACTTACATCTGGCAACGTCCTGAAGTAAGGACCAACCACAAGAAGCACAATTAATAGCAAAGCACTGGAGACCAGTCCTGTCACCTAAAAAGTATTACATGCAAATTTACTCCAACCCAGATTTTAAATATTTTCTGTGTAAAATAGCAGTGTATGTTAAAATACATGTTGATGTGACTGAAAGATTTTTATTCCAACTGTACAGGATATAATTACTTGAGCCCCCATTTTGCATGTTAAATAGTGCATTATTAAAAATCTTACTTTTTAACAATTCAAAATTAGACTTGCCTCATGTTTAGGGAACAATTAACTAACCAGATTTTGTATTCTTTGAGGGAACCAATCCATAGTAAAGCACACATATTTAAACACACTTATAAAATGGATAACCATTACTGATAAAAAAAAGAATACGCAATGGGTTTGAGTCAAGTTACAGTGCAGAGCATAAGGGTGAAGTAAGGCTGTCAAAAATGTTTGCAGAGGCCTATACAAACTAATAAGAGACAATGCTGAATAATACTTTGCTATGCTGCCATCCGTGCCGGGTAGATTGAGATAAATGGTGGAATAAGTTTTAGGGGCTTTTACTCTAAATTTTAAACTGACCTGAGTTTTGCCCCCTACATCTTCTTGCACCAAACTCCTGGACAGTGAGACAGCAGACACAAAAGAGGAGAAAAAGGAGGACATAACATTGCAGGCTCCGTAGGCCAACAGTTCCTAAAGGAATGAAATTTACAACACACAAAAATAGATATCTGGAAATATTTCATTGATCTCAATAATAATATTTTTCTGTTTTCATTTCTTCACTTGTCCAAATATTCAAACGGCATTTCAAAATATATTTCAAAAGTACAAAGGTTCTCAAAACACTCATTATCTTTCGCTTGATTGAGAATCAATTTAGTTTTTAAATGAACATAAAAGAGACAATTTAATTTTCACAATAACATATTTTTAACTATAAATACAGATTTAATATGTGCAGAAAAGAGCTTTAAAAAGCTTTCCTTTACAAATTCTAATTTTCCTCGCTAACTTTTAATCCCCAAAACTTCAACAGAATGGGAATAAATGTAAGCATAGAGAAACACAATTTTAAATTACGAATGCTCTGTGAGGTAAAGCTTTGATCTACATCTTTATGAAATCAGACACAGCACTGACCTGGTTAGAGTCAACAGTGTAATCGTGTTTCTTGGCAAAAATCTTGGCCATTGATACAGATATGGCGAATGAGACAATGGCAATGGCTATTGCATCAGCAATCACTTCAGTTATGTAAGGGAAAGCATCCAAGGTGGGGGCTGGAATACTAGAGACATCCAATGTGTGGAATTAAGATTTACCTTTTAGAACATGATATAAACATGATATAAACATGATATAAACATGATATAAACATGATATAAATGTGACATAAACATGATATAAATGTGACATAAACATGATATTATCATGATATAAACATGATATAACATGACATAAACATGTTATAAACATGATATAAAATGATATAAACATGATTTAAACATGATTTAAACATGATTTAAACATCTTCTTCTTCTATATCTTAAGGGCCCACGATCAATTTATTGATCATTTTGGCTCCTATGCATAATATAAACATGATATAAACATGATCATGATATAAACATGATATAAACATGAAAAAAACATGATATAAACATAATTTTAAAAAAACTTAATCATATCATATTGTTATTAATTTAAATTGAAAAAAAATAGTTTGTAAAAATTGTCTTCCATTTAATAATTTGTCTCCAAGAAAATGGCTCTACTCAGACGGATCTAATCAGCCCTTTCTTTTTTTTAAAAATTTGTTACATTCCTAAAACTGTCCAGATAGTTCATGCTAAAATTTTCCGACAAAATGTAAGGTCATTTAATATTGCTTTAATTTCTTACCCTATGGGGATATCACCTACAACCTTCACACCATAGGTTTCCTCTAGCTTAACAAAGTAAGATATCACAGTACCCAGGACAACCTAGAACAAAAGAGGAAATGGTTACAGAATGGGGTGCTGAGAAGGGGTAGGGGAAATAGAGGGGAATCTGACCAATTTTAATTTTTGGAAACTTCTGTAACATTTCTTGTAAAAATGAAGAAAACATTTGAGTTGATATTTGATGTGTCAAAATAATGATTTTACTGTCCGTCTAAGCATTATTGAATAGCAGACTTATTGAAAGTAGTTTACTAACTGCAGCTCCCCAAATGTGCGTCAAGTTTGTCTTGTACTAGGAACAGAGTGCGAGTATTGTTTGTAAGAATCAGTTTTGAAAATCATTTCTAAAGAATTTTTCGTTACATCACAAGGTCTGACCGATCTCTGGTAGGATTAGTGCATTCTTTCTTTTCTTACACAAGAATTTTTAACCCTTCCGTTACCGATAACGTCGAGGCGACGTCACGATCACCCACTTCCAAATACCAAGGACGTCACATCAACATCATATTTCAATGCTGTATATTTCTTTATTGGTTAATCTATAGGGAAGTTAATAAGCGAATCGGACAGAGAACGAAAAATACAGAAGTTTCTTTTTCAAGTTTTTCATTGCTGAATCAGCCAAAATCGATGCCGAAACCAGCGGTAATGAAAGGGTTAAAAAAAATATTATGACACTAGCTAAAAATCTAATCTTTACATGCAAGGTTTAAAGTCTACAATTTTGTACATTAATGTCATCACATCGTTAATAGAATTCATTGAGATAGATTTTATCTATTAATAATTCATAAAACTCTACCACTAAAAATGAGACTGACCACAATTAATTCCATGGGGATGGGCATCAGAAGTCTGGGCTTGATCTTTGGATTGGCGTTGATGTATTCTTTGACCACAACCAGCAGCACCATGCAGACAATGGAGGCGATGAATGTGACAGGCTTGGTTTGGGGGAGGTTGATGAAGATGTCTCGGTACACCTAGGGTAGAAACACAAGACATCGAGATATGTGTACACCTACAATAGATATCTATGTTCACCTAGGGTAAAAACACAAGACATCGAGATATGTGTACACCTACAATAGATATCTATGTTCACCTACAGTAAAAACACAAGACATTGAGATATGTGTACACCTACAATAGATATCTATGTTCACCTAGGGTAAAAACACAAGTCATCGAGATATGTGTACACCTACAATTGATATCTATGTTCACCTAGGGTAAAATCACAAGACATCGAGATATGTGTACACCTACAATAGATATCTATGTTCACCTACAGTAAAAACACAAGACATTGAGATATGTGTACACCTACAATTGATATCTATGTTCACCTAGGGTAAAATCACAAGACATCGAGATATGTGTACACCTACAATAGATATCTATGTTCACCTACAGTAAAATAACAAGACATTGAGATATGTGTACACCTACAATTGATATCTATGTTCACCTAGGGTAAAATCACAAGACATCGAGATATGTGTACACCTACAATAGATATCTATGTTCACCTACAGTAAAAACATAAGACATCGAGATGTGTACACCTAAAATAGATATCTATGTTTACCTACAAAAAACACAAGACATCGAGATGTGTACACCTATAATAGATATCTATGTTCACCAATGGTAAAAACACAAAACATTGAGATCCCTGTCTGTAGCCGTTCATTTATTATTATGGCATCCTTCCGTCTCCGTTAGACGATGGAGTAGCTATGTAGTCCTACATTTCGACGAGTGGCTCACTAGGCCAATTCTAGAGTGACAATCTCGACCGCATCTCTCGCAAGAGAATATTGATTCCCGGTAAGATTTTGTCTTCCGTATTGTTCTTTTTGTTGCAAGGGCATTGATCCGCGTATCTTCTGCCTTTTGTTACACCTTCATACACTGCTGTTTGCCAGATGGAACGTTGTTCGGCAATGTGCTCCCATTCGTTGTTGTCAATATTGGCTTCCCTCATGGTCCTTTTGCAAACGTCCATAAATCTCAGGCGTGGCCGTCCAATATGTCTTGTCCCCTCTGCCAACTCTCCATACAGCAGTATCTTTGGGATACGGTCTTCGTCCATTCTCCGTACATGACCTAACCAGCGAATGCGCCTCTTGATAAGAAAGGAGAATATGCTAAACATGTGTGCATGTTCTAAGACCTCCGCGTTAGGCACCTTGTCCTGCCAACGAATGCGTAGAATGCGATGCAGACATTTTTGATGGAAGCTGTTGAGTTTCCGCTCCTGACTGGTATGCGTGGTCCACACTTCACTACCATATAGGAGCATACTAAGCACACATGCCTGATAGACATTTATTTTTGTTTTATCAGTTAGATTGAGATTATTCCACACCCGCTTATTCAGTTTAGCCATAGTTGCTGCTGCTTTTGCGATCCTGATATTTATCTCTTCATCAATGGAGAGAGAACTAGAAATATTGGATCCAAGGTATGTGAAATGCTCAACAACCGAAAGATTATGACCCTCAATAGATAAGATTGGAGGGGACGGTGCTTCATGCATCATTACATGTATTTTCTGTAAACTAATAAAAAATCCAAACTCTTTACAAGCAGGTGATAGACGATTAACCAGCCCTTGCAGACCTTCTTCTGTGTGAGATGTTAAGGCGCATCATCAGCAAACAGCAGTTCACAAATCAGCATCTTTTTTACTTTGGTCATTTATATACCACAATAAAGTAATGGAGTGTGGTACTTACATAGATCAGTTTAAATGCCCCACTGTATCGCCCTGTTGGGATACCAAAAATATGTTTTATCTGACTCGTGAATACATGGACGGCAGCACCAGTTGTGAATCCACTGATCAGAGGGTCAGACAAATAAACGGTCAGAAATCCAAGTCCAAAGAATCCCAGCAGCAGCTGTAGAGGAGGAGGAAACAGTATGAAAAGAAATGATGATAGTTTTATATAGTGTCATATTTATTGTGTCTCAACTAGCCTATCAATCTGCTCAGTGTCATCACTAACTACCAATTAATTAGTTATAAAAACAAACAAAATCTTACACCAAGTCTACAAATCCCTTATTTTTATCAGTTACTAAATATTAAAATTGCTTTATAATTTATTACTTATTGCAACCAATTTTTTTAATCAGTTTCAACGAGGCAAAAGGTACATCAAAGTGGCCCGTCGTCACAAACAAGTGATGTATACATATTTCAAATGAGCGTTTACGCGAAGAATGAAAATAATCGCTAACTCAAACAAGAAATTGGCACATTTGTTATACACCCACCAGGCAATATATTTAACATGGGGGATCACAATATTGAATGCATCAGGCCGCATCCGGGCACAGGGTTAGCAAACCTTGCATTAAGCCCGATTTTATTTTCTGTCAACATTTTATATTCTAATCACTACCGCAAGATGTGTTGGTAGAGCAGAGGAGAAATGCTGGAACAAAACTGGGGTATTAAAATTGTAAGGCTGCTTGGTGACTTCCATAAATAGATTTCAAATGCTGCTAACTAGATCCTATAAAATAGATCAAAATCTAAAGCAGCTGTGCAGGGCTGTTGAAAATGAATTTAATTTTTTTTTAAATCAAAAGGCTTTTTTTTCATTTTCACAATTCACATTTTTCACAATTACTGCAACAATTAGGTTGCAAAATTTGCATCATACATTTCATACAGCACAGAAGTGAAACAAGCGAATGTCCTATGCTAATATTACTGGTGCCCTATCTAGTGAGTTCATTGTGAAAATACAAAGCAACAATATGATCATTATCACAAGGCGGTGTAATTTCATAGCCTTCAAAATATTTAGCCACCTTCCCCAACCTCCTCCCTTGCACACCCTTAAACTCGCTTCCAAGTCAACCCCCCACACCCCCCCCCCTTTTTTCCCCCTCTCAGTGCCTGTGTAAATTAAATATGGATGGTCCCCATATGGATGGTCCCCAACCAATGGTATTAATCAGCTCATTCATAACCTCATGCAAAAAAGAGCTAAAACTAATAACCGAAATGGTCTTGTTCTTTTTTCTAAATTGTAAAATCTATCGGAATATATTTTTTCAAACCTGTCTCGTAAAATTGCAGTTCAGACGGGGGTTGGCATGCAACCGTAAAAAAAAAAATTCTAAAAAGTTGTGCATTGTATGCAAAATCGTAAGAGTAAACAGGTCTGAAGTAAAATCTCGTTACCACAAAAATGTACCTGTATAGCCCCAACAACAAATGTCACAGACATGGCCAGCATAAGTTTGGTTTGGAGAAGCTCTTCCGAGTTGTCCATCATTTTGCTGGTGATATTCCCGTCCACTTCCAACGTTTGGTTCCATTGGTTCGGAACCATGTTACGGTCCTTTAAACCTTTGTCAACAGCAGAGCCCACCATGAGGGAGATGACAGCGAATGTACCTGTACAGAAGCAGACAAATGGATAACTGTGTTATTAAATTATTCAATGACAGACTGGTCAATAGGAGCTTAATTCTGGAATTAAATGTAGTTAAGACAGTTGTTCGTTTCTTGAATCTGACATTGTTTTCACTGTGATAATACAAATGACAAAATGATATTTAATAAAATTTAAATTGTACAAGCCTTTTATCCAGCGGTAATGTAATATATATATATATATATAACACAACAATAAATGAAATACCTACCTATGGATACATGGTAAGGTAATATACATATATTTAACACTACAATAAATGAAATACCTAACTATGGATACATAGTAAAGTAATAATATATATATATATAAAACACTACATTAAATGAAATACCTACCCACGGATACATGATAAAGTAATATATAACACAACAATAAATGAAAGACTTACCGATGGATACATGTTTGGATGAGCCCAGGAAGAAGTAAAGGATAACAGGAAAGAAGGACACATACAGCCCAAACACTGGGGGCAAGGTAGACAACTGACCATAGGCCATGCCTGTAAACAAATAAATTTTAAAAAAGAATAGATTTTGCAATGAGTTTTTTTTTTAAAATTCAATGTCTATTTATCAGTTGAAATATAATATTAACACGCAGAAATCTCAGTCCTGTAACAATTGAAAGAAACCAAAAGTAAACAACAACATAAGTGATTGAAATTTTGAATCAAGTCAGACTTCAGTTTAGTCATCAATGCTGCCATTTTACAAATATGAAATAAGCTGTTTGTTTCATTGGTTGATTATAAAAAAGAAAAATATGTTATATGAAATGTATTTCTAGAAAAATTCTCTCAGAAAGTAATATATCTATATCCAGGAATATTTAAGAAGCATACATTATTAAAGAAAACTATAATTTGTGTAACCCTGTAAATTTCATATATACAAATTCCTCTATGATATCTGAAAAATTGTACTACCCTGTGGTATGTCCAAAGATTACTTTCTGTTATATATGAAAAATTGTCCTACCCTGAAGTATGTCCAAAGATTACTTTCTAAGATATCTGTAAAAAATTTGTCCTACCCTGGGGTATGTGCATGATCCCAACAGTGAGTCCAGCAATAACATCAGCAATTAAGTCTGTCCTCAGATTGTACTCCCTCATTATTGACAAGAATGGCAGATGGTGTGCAATCGTCTTGCGAACACAAGCCAAGGAGAATTCACATTTCCTGGCCTTTGATTTGATCCACGTACAAGCTGTACGTTTGGGACGTTGACCACCTTCAAACCCCTGCGTCAACAACAATCATAGTTAAAATGTTACCGGTACGCAATTTATTTACTCTGTACGTAATTTATTTTACTGGTACGTAATTTATTTACCCAGTACGTAATTTATTTACCCGGTACATGATTTATTTACCCGGTACATGATTTATTTACCCGGTACATAATTTATTTACCCGGAACATGATTTTTTACCCAGTACATGATTTATTTACCCGGTACATAATTTATTTACCGGTACATAATTTATTTACCCGGTAAGTGATTTATTTTATTCCAAAATTTAAGGAATTCTGCACTATTAAATGCTCATTAGTATTAATTTTAAATCCCAATCATCAAATGAAGTTTGTGTGTGCGCATGTGTGATGTTGTGTGACAGTGTTAATGAAACTCTCACATCGCCCTATACCCAGGATATGATGCAACAAAATGTGACAAGTGTCATTTTTAGGTCTTTCCAATGGGATCTCTTCAATCTCTACAACTATAAGTAATAATTTATAAAATATTAATGTCTACTATTATAAGTAATAACTCTAAAAAAAAAATTAATATGAGGTGAGATCCACTTGGTGATTGACTTCCATTGCACATTTTTTAAATCTTAGAAATGAATATGACCTGAACATACTGTAAATTACCCAAACATGTAACAGTTAAAATTAAAGCAATGCTGTTGTCAATGCATGGAATATCTCTGACCTGATCAAAATCCTTCTGTGAGTAGATGGGCCGCTCAATGACCACCATGTCCTCCATAAACGACTCATCTTCAGCTGGATCAACTTCCCCGCCATGTGACCCTGAGGAGGTAAAAGTTTATGCTTTAAAATTTGGTTTTTTTTAGAAGTTAAAAATTTAAAAAAATAAACTAAAATAAAAACCTTGTTGTTCTCTTGTTTCCAATGCAATTTAAAGAATGTTCTGTTAATTGTTTCAGTCTTTGCAATAGAAGACACTGCAAACATTGATCTTATCTATGTGATAATAAAGTGCAAGTGGACAAAGTTGAGTTCTCCGACTCAACAGGAGCTAGCTGAAACTACTTGACTAACATCAATGGAAACTGAAACTTTTAGCAGCTTGTAGCAGCATTATTTATAGTTAACTTTAAACATTTATTCTAGTTTAAGTGTTATATTGGAAGAGATTTCAATATTTCTATAATGATAGAATTCATATTTTCCTCAATCAAATTTCTTGGATCAGACTTCTATGTTTTTTTTTCAATAAAATATAAATTTCTCCAAAATTATAAACAAGACAAAAAATATCTCTTTACTTAACCACAGAACAAATGAACATTCCATTTCTCTGCATCAAATATGATGCAATGATGCAATCAATCAAGTTCAAACATGAATTAAGATAAGGGCAAAATGTAAAAACTGCAATTGACTTTTAGTAAATGAAGTAGCAGCTATGAAACGCTCTTAGAAAAAAACTTAAATACAATAATGGCCTATTTCAAAACCAAATTTCATCATAATTGTCTATGTTCAGGTAACAAATGGAAATGGCACCATTTCGATCGGTATATTGCTAATGTGTAATGGGAAAGAATTCCATTGTTTAGGGGCGCAGAAAGAGAAAGATAGTTTATCGTATGTTTTAATGCGTGTCTTTGGAGCAGAAAGAATATGCGTGTCCGTGAAGGAACATAGCTGTCGAACTGTCAAAGGGGTGAATAGACAGAAAGAATTTCGGTAAGATAAGAAGGGCAGGAACAAGACAAAAAGCTGTGACGGAACAGACAGCTTGTAATCAATGCGTGCCTGTAATATTATCATTATAAGTGGTTTTATATAGCATCTACCCATGCCTAGGGCTGAGCTCACCACGCTGTACATACAATTTAACAAACAATCAAAAACTTAAAAAATTAAATTAATTAACATAGATTAATTAAATCAAACAAAACAAATGTATATTTAAAACTATTTCCCATGTCAAGCCATGGACGACACCCAGCAGCATCGTTTTTCGGTCAGAGGTGGGAATCTGTCAGGATGGTAGAGATTAAAAAGATGTGTTTTGAGAGCAGTTTTGAAGGCTGTGATGGTCGGTATATTGCGGATGCGTAATGGAAGAGAATTCCATTGTTTGGGGGCACAGAAAGAGAACGATCGTTCACCGTATGTTTTTGTGAGAGTCTTGGGGACAGAAATAATACGCGCGTCTGCGGAGGAGCGAAGCTGTCGAAGGGGTGAATAGACAGAGAGAAGTTCGGTTAGATAGGAAGGGGAGGAATTCGAGAAAACGTTGTGGCATAGAACAGAGAGTTTGTAGTCAATCCGTGCTTGTACAAGGAGCCAATGAAGTGAATGAAGTAGTGGTGTGACGTGATCACGTTTTTTTTGTCTTTAGAAGTAGCCTAGCAGCTGAGTTTTAAACCTTTTGTAATTTTTCTAAGAAGTGTTTTTGGTGAACCTGATAGAAGAGACTTACAATGGTCAAGACGAGAGAGGACTAGAGCACAGTCTAGGAATATCCAGCAATGGGCGGGGGAAAGGGGGGGGGGGGTAAAACTTGACAAAACATGCCTGCTAGTAATGCATTTTATAAGAATCCGATTTAGTGCTCCCACCCCCAAGGCTCCCAACGGCACCATTTTTTCTTCACATCCCTGAACTCTAGTAATATTCTAATGACTCGGAAGCTTTTACACCTGGAAGCTTTTACACCTGGAAGCTTTTACACCTGGAAGCTTTTACACCGCCGATTTATTTAACCAACTATTTCAGAAAACCAAGAAGAAGGTATTGCACGCACCCAATGAACTTGAGCCGCCGAACATTTGATAAAAAACAAGTTGCCGTCGGTAATGACACTATGCAATCAAAAGTTTTAACGTGACAGGTTGGGGGGGGGGGGTAGGGGGGATCCGGTCAGTTAGCTCAAGAAGAAGGTATTGCACGCACCCAATGAACTTGAGCCGCCGAACATTTGATAAAAAACAAGTTGCCGTCGGTAATGACACTATGCAATCAAAAGTTTTAACGTGACAGGTTGGGGGGGGGGGTTTGGGGGATCCGGTCAGTTAGCCGTCCAAAGATTCTGTCAGCCAGCCGCAAACAAAAGCAAAATTAATATAAAGGATTCCAAAAAAAAGTCAAGAGGGTTTTACTTTCTATCAGCACAGCAATGCTGGTAATGGGTGTCGGGCATGGATATTGACTAGCCATTGTTGCGCACCGAATGCTGTGCTGTCTTGTGCGCGTGTGTCATGAGCGTTAGTTTCTTGGCGCGGTGAGGCCTGTGACGTACACGTGACGTGAGTTCACTCATCTGTGATGTAGCAGCGTCAGAGACTTTGAGTACGTGCTATTCGTTTGACGGCTGCTATCTAAGCATTGAGTGAGTAGGTTGCATTTGCGTTCCTCTAGGGCAGTGGTTCTCAACCTTCCTAATGCCGCGACACTTAAATAGAGTTCATCATGTTTGGTGACCCCCGACCATAAAATTATTTTCGTTGCTACTTCATAAATATGTGTTTTCCGATGGTCTTAGTTTTCCGATGGTCTTAGGCGACCCCTGTGTAAGGTGCGTTCGACCCCCAAGGGGGTCGCGACACACACGTTAGGATACGCTGCTCTAGGGAACTGCCGCTATGTATTTGAATTATTGGGCGACCAGATAACAGATGACTGGTTTAAAGTTTACGTTGTGCTTCGAATAGGACTTACGCTCCGTCTTAAATCGGATTACGACGCATGAACGTATGTGACAGTCAGAAACAAACGTTTCTCGTCAGACGGGAAGAAAGGAGAGAAAAAAAAAGGGGGGGGGGGGTCATCATCAATCCAAGCTCTGATAATTTGATACCCCAATTAGTTTACCAGTGAGACAGCGTGGGCGTTGATAAAGTACACACACAAATAATAAACACAGATTTTTTTTCCTGACAATTTCACTTTGTGAAAATAATGAGAAGCTGTTGTGTTCCCCGTTATAATCCTCTCATTACACGAAGTATGTGACAGTATGTCACCGAGGACCTGGAAAGTTGACACGAGGTTTAACCGTGACAGCCGAATTCCGGAGTTTGTTGTATAGGAAGCGTTTTAACAACTGGGGTCAGAGGGACTTTTCACCAGGTTCAATGTCAGAGTGGATTAAGTAGATTTTTATGTTGATAAGAGGGAATCTAGTTATGTCTTTTTTTTTTTCATTCATTTCATCATAAGTATAAGATATAGAATATTTTATTTTATCATATATAGAAGATATAGAATATTACATCTTATCATACACAGAAGAATCTAATAAGAAGAAACTTTTAACTCATTATTTTAGGACATGCATACACTTAACGCACTTCATAAAGAATTACAATTAATGCCCCCCCCCCCCAACCAAGGCTCGCAACTGCACATTTTGTTCACGTCCATGAACTCTATTGATCTTCTAATGTCCCACCCACTTTTACACCACAGATTAATTTCACCAACTATTTCAGAAAAAAAAAAGAAAATATTACGCACCAAACGCAATTGGGGTGTGTTTTTTAAAAAAAAAAAAATCTCATTTTGCGCAGTTATCGAAAATTCCACTGTAAAAAAAGAAGAAAAAAAAAGAAAAACTGATTTTTGGGGGTTGGAGTTGGGGGCTGGGGCTAAAAATTTAAATGTAATCTCATCGACAACGAGCTCATGTGCCAAGTTTCAGCTCAATAGATTGACGGGAAGTTGGTCAATTAGCCGTCTGAAGATTTTGCCACCCAGCAGCCCCCCCCCCCCGAACAAAAGCGAAGTTGATATAACAATGATCTTATTTAAAACCAGATATAATATTCTCGCGATGTCAGCAGTATATTTTAGCCCTACTAGGACTCAGATCGTTTTATTCCTATCCCCTATCGGGAATGCCAGCAATGTCCAGTATAGAAGGCTCTGCACATGAACATCTTAAAAAAAACTGATTTCTAAACATGTATCCTTACAGAACCTTAAAGTGTGGAGGGACACAGAAAGAATTCATATGGAGTGCGCTCTTTTGAAAGCAGTCTTCTCCCATTAAGGAGACTTGAAGTGTCACATGCCCACTACCCACACACGGATTCTGTTCTGACCCGTCACTCCTCTGCCCCTTTTAATGAGGACTTGAGCGTCCTGTAGCTGAGTGGTTGGTCTCAGACATGAGTATTACAAGCAGGATTTGCTGTCTCCCGAGACGTCTAAGGGAACAGGATATTGAACGAATCATCGGAATCATTGTGACGTAGGATGATTTTGTAAAAAACAAACTCTCCTATTCCATCTGGTTAATAGCAAACACTGTAATACGTACACAATATGGATTATCCCGCTATTCTATTTTAAACAGTGACGGGGAAGACTGTTGACTTCAATGAGACGTCATTGCAGATACGATGATCTCCACCCTTTTGCTGAAGCCCATTATCCTGGCACACTGTCCTCTTACAACAACATATGTTCTACGGCCAATCAAACGTATACATCATTTTCCGCTCCACTAGATAGGGAAAAAACCGCTGTCTAGATGAGAAACCGCCAACTTACAGCGAAGTGTACTTATGTGTACGATAGAACAGTGGTACAGCAAAGTGCACTTATCAGTACAATAGAACAGTGGTACAGCAAAGTGTACTTATGTGTACGATAGAACAGTGGTACAGCAAAGTGCACTTATCAGTACAATAGCTCAGTGGTACAGCGAAGTGTACTTATGTATACAATGAAACAGTGGTACAGCGAAGTGTACTTATGTGTACAATAGCAGTGGTACAGCAAAGTGTACTAATGTGTACATTGGAACAGTGGTACAGTGAAGTGTGCATAAGTGTATAATAGTGGTACAGTGAAGAGTTCTTACCTGTACAATCGCTCATTGTTACAAACTCATTGTTACAAACTCATTGTTACAAACTCATTGTTACAAACTCATTGTTACAAACTCATTGTTACAAACTCATTGTTACAAACTCATTGTTACAAACTCATTGTTACAAACTCATTGTTACAAATTCATTGTTACAAGGGAGGCCACGTAAACACGCCTTCAGGCCCATACACTCTTAAATTACTTAAACAGAGGTCATGATAGCTCCAAAGGACGAACAAACTAATTACTAATTATAAAATAAATGGAAGGAAAAAAAAAGGGGGGGGCAGTAGCCCCTGTGGATAAAATAGTACATCAGACATATCCAATGGCGCCCATGCCGTTATTTGTATAAAGTGTATGTACACCTTTCTGTAGAGCCACTAACAACTGAACTACATCTACCGCATAGAGCCACTAACAAGTGAAATATCTGTACCGCGTAGAGCCACTAACAACTGTATGTATCGCGTAGAGCAACTAACAACTAAACTATATGTATCGCGTAGAGCCACTAACAACTGAACTATCTGTACTGCGTAGAGCCACTAACAACTCAACCATATGTACCGCGTAGAGCAACTAACAACTGAAATATCTGTACCGCGTAGAGCCACTAACTACTGAAATATATGTACCACGGAGAGCCACTAACTGAAATATAAGTACTTTGTACAGCCTCTAACAACTGAAATATATGTACCATGTAGAGCCACTAACATCTGAAATATCTGTATTTTGTAGAGCCGACAAACCTACTCTAACTAGGAACTATCAAATGGAAGTGGTTGCTGAAATGCTCAAAGTGTAGGGCATATATATATTTCTTATGACTATACATGAATGTAAGCAGCAGTGATCAAAGTCTTCAATTGTTGGGTCTAACGGCCTTGTGAGTTAAAACAATCCATGTGGGTATTTTGGTTTTCATTGGCCTCTCAAAATGTGCACACAAATCTATCCTTTAAATCAGTGATGGGTGGCAAACTTGTGGATGTAGACAGCCTAACCCAATAAAGCCCTAGGCCATTCCTGATGTTTTCGTTCTCTGTGCCCCCCGCCCCCAATATCTCAAGCTAAAATAATACAGTACATGCTTTAATTAACCGCAGCATAAAGCCACCCCCCCCCCTAAAAAAAANGCAAAAAAAAACAACCCGACCCACCCCCCCCCCCCCCCAAATCCACTTCCTTGAAAAGTTCTCACGGGATCCAAACATTTCAATTTTGCTTCACCTTCACTGCGACCCTCCTCACATTACGCATATAATATTCGACCCTGACCCTCATGAGGACTCTCATTAATTACGGTAGTGTAAGTATGCATTACAGAAGGTGAAGGGGTGAGGCTAAACATCAACCTCTTTGTTTACACAAATAATAATTGAACAATAAACAACCCCTATGAACAGAAAATTCACATTCAGTTTAATCCATTGTGTCCTCCTATTGTTACTTTAGCACACTTTGTTCACGTTTGTTTACAACCCTCATCACGTGCCACACCTTAAGAATGGTGTATCAAGAAGGTGTCTCCCTACTCTATGGTCAAATCTAAATCACACGTTACACCTTGTTATCTATGTGTTAGTTTAAGGGGCCGTGCACATACCTTATAACACAAAAAATATGTATTTTTACCCCCCCCTTACTCCTAATTGCGTTATATAATATTTCTATTGACCTCATAATTTTATATTACATGTAAAATAAAGTCCTAAAATAAGCCAAAAACAAGCCAAAACCAGCTAATTTAAAGCAAAAAGCTACAAATTACTTTTTAAAACAATATGCGAATTATTGTAAGCAACAATTAAATTTTAGTTGTTTTTTTTTAAAATGATTGATGTTAATTTCTTTATTTAAAAAGCAAAAACAAGAATTACTTTTTTTTTAACGATAAAAAGTATTGTTACACAGCACTGCTTTCTACCAGCCCCACCCCATATAACGCAATATAAGAAAACGATAAACTAACCCTCAACCCTCTTAGCCTTATGCATTGCGTACACGGTCCTAAAAATGTACGCATAATTTAGTCAAACAACCCCACAAAAAAGCTCTATAAATCCACAGAAGAGAATGAATGCACACAGACAACTAGAAAGACAAAAAAAAAAACTACAGAAGAACATCTAGAAATATATTAAGCAACAATGATTACTTGACGTGATGTTAGAAAGCAGCACATTGATTACAGTAAATACAGAGCCAATTGTTGTTTGTCTTGAGCCAGGCGACACGCACATACTATCATATAGCTCAGGACTGCACAACTCAAAATGTAAGGTGGGCCGTAATACTAAATGAAAAACTTCTGCGGGCCATACCTCTTTATGAGAAACATGTGCGGGCCGAAAGATAATAAGACAGGGGCGAAAGCTATTAAGAAACTAATAAAAATAAAGAATAATTCGTTACTTCGCGGGCCACCGAGTGGGTGCTGGCAAGCCTATAGTGCAGGCCTGATACAGATTACAACCTGTGGTGAGTGAATATTTCAGGCCAATGCCTCTAAAATAATCGGGTATAACTTTTGCACCTAAGGACTGAAGCAGTGTTTCCCAACCTTTTTTTTCCCCCTCCGAAATCCCACATGAGCAGCTGAAAAGGTTTTGTGTCCTACGAGCCCCTTTGTGAAGTGGTCGAAAGTGCGCGGCACCGGAGTTTATGCGGCTCTTCGAAGAAATGAATGAGGCTTAACTATAACGATTTAGTAAAAAAAAAAAAAATTGAAGGATTTTCTGTCACAGACGAATATCAACGCACTATAAAGTATTTTTCCCCTTAAAATTCATTAAGCAAAGAAAGTCTGTAAAGAAGGGCACATGTTGCTCCCAGAGAAGATTGAATTGCACAGGTTGTTTCCAGAGAAGATGGAATTGCCCATGTTGTTCCCAGAGAAGATTGAATTGCCCATGTTGTTCCCAGTGAAGATTGAATTCCCCATGTTCCCAGAGAAGATTGAATTGCCCATGTTGTTCCCAGAGAAGATTGAATTGTTCCCAGAGAAGATTGAATTTCCCATGTTGTTCTCAGAGAAGATTGAATTGTTCCCAGAGAAGATTGAATTGCCCATGTTGTTCTCAGAGAAGATTGAATTGTTCCCAGAGAAGATTGAATTGCCCATGTTGTTCTCAGAGAAGATTGAATTGCCCATGTTGTTCTCAGAGAAGATTGAATTGCCCATGTTGTTCTCAGAGAAGATTGAATTGCCCATGTTGTTCTCAGAGAAGATTGAATTGGGGTACAACAAGAGTCTCTTGATTGAATTGCCCATGTTGTTCCCAGAGAAGATTGAATTGCCCATGTTGTTCTCAGAGAAGATTGAATTGCCCATGTTGTTCTCAGAGAAGATTGAATTGCCCATGTTGTTCCCAGAGAAGATTGAATTGCCCATGTTGTTCTCAGAGAAGATTGAATTGCCCATGTTGTTCTCAGAGAAGATTGAATTGCCCATGTCGCGGGATGTCTAGACTTCGGATTCCCACCAAAGTTGTTGGATGGAAGCACAAATATTTGTGCCGGTAATGCCAGAAATGCCAAACAACGTCAAAGGTTTAACTTTAAAAGTGTCTTTGAACAAAGTAACAACGTAAAGACATGTCCTATCTCAGAGACTTAAATGTGCCGACATTGCCCACATACTCTTTGAATTGCCCCCCTCCCGCCAAACTACCCCCACCCACTCTTGTTTTTCCTTGGTAGTAGACTCACGCTGGGAAACACTGGTCTCAAGTCCACGTTGACATGTGTAGTAAATATTATATCCTTCAACTCATGGGCGACATCAGTTTAACATAAACTTGCCACGTTCAAGATGTGTTCAATGGTAACATTGAAGTGAGTAGTTTCAATTTAGACACGATAGAGTGGTTTGGTGAGAAGATTGATCGAAAGAGCTCTCCTTTAAAAAACCAAATGAGACTCTTAGCCGTGTTAACTCTGAAATCAATTCCTTGGTCAACCATTAAAAATTGAATCAGAAGAACATTTTCTCAATAGGGCTAGGTTTTTTTCCACATAAGAGATCAAAACATTTCTTTTTAAAAATAATTCTAAAAACGTTTAATTGTTCCAAAACCCTTTTTGAAAAAAAACGCTCCTCTGAACAAAAGAGAGCTCTCATTAAAAAATAATATTTTTTAAATGCTTTTAAGTTTTAAAGAAAATAAATGTTTGTTTTTTTTAATAATTAAAAATAATTATTGAAGCATGTTCAGCCTGCGTGAAAATCACTTAAATGAACATTTAACACAGTGGCCGGGGTTACAAGTTATACGAAAGCCAAATACACAAGAGCAAATCGTAACTGGTCGTAAAAGATCGTAACAGGTTGTAACAGGTTGTAACTGGTCGTAACAGGTCGTAACTGGCAATGATAAAATCAAAACTAAACACGCCAATGCCAAGCAAACATCAACACACAAAAAATGACCACTCAAAATTTAAGATAGAGCTATTTTTGTTGAGGGGGTTGGTTTAGTAATGGACAGTTAGTGCTCCACAAGACACGCGTGCCACACACGAGCTCGTGCATGACGACATGTACTCACGTCCAGGCGAGTGTTGCCTTGCTCTCCCCGCCACCAGATGCTGAAATCCATTAACATGAAAATGCCGTGAGCATGCGGTTATGACAAGACTCAATGATTGCTATGGTAACATTGGTGAAACAGGTGAACTTTTAGCTGACGCTACACAAATGTCAGGACAGGGACACAAAGGAGATGGACAACAAGTAAGATATTTATAGTCATTGAACAAAGGAGTTATTGATAGCTACGAATTAATGTTGGGATTCCCCCCCTCCCCCCCCCCATCAATGACCTGTACACACACGGGAGTCACCCATACAACTTACTGTATGTTAATGGAGAGGTAGAAACAAGGAAGCTTTTGTATTGACAAAAATATATATGTCATGGAGAAATGTATGTCTATATACGTCATACAGAAATTTGCCTACTTTCGCGAAAGAGAAATATGATTCTTCTACTTTCGCCAAAGAGAAGTTTAAGTCTACTTTCGATAGTTCCCAATGTGTCGTAGTGTTCAGTCAAACGTTTCTATTCAATTTAAAAAAGGGTGGGGTGATGGGGGGTCGAAAGATATTGAAGTACATTATGATAGCATTGGTTGTTTGATTAGCTAGGTCCCAGCATGACAGCAGGCTGACTGGATATAATCCTACAATGAAAACTTGGAACAATCGAGCGCGTCGAAAGCCGCAAACAAAGAGTCTGTCAAATGTGATACTTTGGTGGCGATTCTGTAGTTCTATAACCAGGCAGACAAATGCTTCAAGAATGAACATCTTCAAGTAACTGGCGGTTGTTGGGGGCAACCAAATCAACAGAGAGATAATCAAGTCCCTCGAGCTTTGCATTAAACTCTTCAGTGTTGGCTATCAGACTTGATGAGCCGGGCCCGAAAGTCAAGATAAGATCCCCTCCACCCCCCCCCCCGTTGTTATAGTCTTGTTTGTGTGTGTGTTCAAAACTTTGATTCAATATAGAATTACTGTGATTACAACCCTGAAAAAAAACACTCAGCTATGCTTTTGAAGTGATCTGATGGGATTTTCAAATATGATTTCTGAATTTCGTAATCCCCAACAGGCCTTCAACGCATGTCAATGAAGATACCACAATGAGACCACAATGAGAGAAACCACAAATACTTACATCGTGTGTACAGTAAACAATCCGGCAACGGATGGGAGAATGCCGTGCCGTGTGCTCCATGCCGCGCACACACTAGCTCACCGGCTAGTGTAACCAGATATCACCAACAGGACTTTAAACTGTTGTCACGACTTTATCTACCTACAACTACCCTCAGTGAAATGACGACACATTCGATTTTTTTTTTTAAAGTGATCGCAACGATAAGCTCCACGGTAGACGTAGACACAACACAGGCCCGAATTCAACATAGATCTCTTCACTTCGTTGCATGGGGTTGGTTACACACCATGGAGAGGACACATGGGTTAACGGAAACTTGCATCAAACTAGAAAGCGGTGCAGCACTTCAAGTTGAAGGGTCTCCGCGAAATGTAGACAACGGATTTATCCGAACATGAGATGACGGCACACACACGGGTTGACACATCAGTGGGTTAGATTCACGTACCGTGTCCTTAGCTATGCAGCTACTATTTATAGCAACACGGTGTGTGTGTGTGTGTGTTTTAACGATAAGCAACTTGGATTATCAAAGTGAGGTTGAAAAGTCGGTGCCGTCATTCATTTCTACTTGAAATCGATTGGACAACGTGATTTATGTTTTTAAAAAAACAATAACATCTTAATAAAATAAGAACAAATTATTTTTTTGTTAATTAATAGGAGCCATGTTTTTTTCCAAGAAATTCACTTGCGGTAGCGCTAACCAGTGGCAATAAGAGGAGAATGACGGCATCTGGGGACAGAGATCAAGTTTGGATCAACGTGTACTGCTACTGCCGGATATTTTGCGACACAAGAAAAAAAAACCGTGATATGCACCTGTACAAAATGTTGTCACGGTTATGGCCCACCTGGTTTCAAAACACCATAGCACACACAGATCTGCCGTCTGCTACTGGAGCTAGAATGGGGGATTTCCCTAAGGTAGAAAGATGTTACCATTTCTTTTACGGTGACAGACGATTCGCTCAGCTAGGAATCATAAAGTATGAAACTCGGACTTAGACCATTGCTTAAAACATAGGCGGTCAACCCAAAAGAGTTTGCGGGCCACTTTGATTGCGAGTAAACGGTTCCCAGGCATGACACCTTCTTAAAATATTAAAAAGAAACATTAAATATATTTATATACGACAACGGCGCACAGCGAGAGACTAGTTGGCTTTGAGTGCAACTGAATCCCTCGGCCGAAGCTAATGATCCGACACCCTCGCCACGACCGAATGACTCCCCGGGGAAGGGGGTCTAGGAGAAGCAAATCCTAGATCTTAGGGGTTGGAAGATTATGTCCTTTCTTTCAATTCTGATGGCTAGCACGATCGATACGATTAACCCAGGTCTGGATGATCTAACCCGTGCGTCGATGTTGATGTCCGCGCGTTTGCGATTGCTTCTGTGGGTGTGGCTCAGAAACATCATGCCCCGACACGCATGGCTGGAGGGGGGGGCAGCCTTCTCTCAGGTCGGTGACGAACGACAGGCCGGTATTGGCGAATGTGTGACTGACCGTGATAGATGTGTTGCGAGAGGTCACCATGTCCAAGCTCTGGTGGCCCACCCACGGGGTCACCATGCCCAAACCCTGTTGGTCCTATTACTGAATGGGTGTGGCATAAATCAGAAAGCGCAAGAAAAAAACCAAACAACGCCACCGAACAGCCCAATTCCAAGAAACACTGCTGCATGGTACTGGTAGGCCGTTTCATATAAATGGTTGTTCGCTATACCCTTGCAAACGAACCCGATATCGAGGTCTTGCCACGGGGATTCGGAACTATCTCACAGTTGATATCGTAGAAGTGAGGAACTACAGCAACACATATACTCTCACTGTTGAGATAGTAAAAGTGAAGAACTACAGCAACACATGTACTCTCACTGTTGAGATCTTAGAAGTGAAGAACTACAGCAACACATGTACTCTCGCTGTTGAGATAGTAAAAGTGAAAAACTACAACAAGAGTGTACCACTGGCACATGGCGGCTTCCGCAAGGGAAGCCAGCTGACGGACGAAGTTATCCGCTTTGTGCAAACCATTACCAATGAACACCAGATGAGAACTAAAACCGTGGCACCATACACTGACCTCCCACACCCCTATGACAAAGTGTGGTGCATGTGCCTCGTGCATTAGATGCTAAAACCCGGTGTCACCGCAAACAGGTACGACTGGCCCAATTCATTGTGATCGAATCGGATGATCGGAACAAGAATATGGGACACTGTATCGGACATGGATGTACTCGGGGACATACTCTCGCAACGATCGATCGGCCTTGAGCTGCACCTTGTCACTGGCATATGTAAACGATACACAAGGGGAACTGGATTCAGATAAGTCCATGTTCGCTGATGATCTGAGTACATGGAGTTTGCGGAAAAGTGTGCATCAATTGCAGAGGTGGCTGCTAGAGGATATAACCCGGTTAGAACCCTACTATGCGAGATGGAAAATGGCGGTCAACGCGGCTAAAACGGTTAATTCCATCATCACAACTGTAAAGAACGCCATTAAACAGGAAGTAGAAATAACCATCTTTTGGGGAAAAGACTCAAATTTGATAGGACACCAACCTAGTTGGGGGTGAAACGGGATCAGAAAGTCCATATACAGACCCGTATGTGAAATATGCGTCAAGCCACGTCTAAACTGGGTCTAGTGAAGAAACTGGCAACCGATGCAAGTCTCCTAAGAGGTCTTTATCTTGGGAGCGTGAGAAGTACGTACAATTGATTGCAGCCTACCAGTCCAAGCGTTTGCAAGTCACGCGATTCTTAAAGGAATGGATGATTGGATCGCATACAAATCCTCCCCCCCCCCTTTCTTCATCTTGTGTGCGGGGCGTTCCGTAACACCCCCACCGCCGTTGTAGAAATCTTGGTGGACATAGAATCAAAGAAAAAAAAAGTAATACTAATCGCAGAGGAAACGATACCACAGGTTAGACGGAACGGAACCCTGCTTCCAATTACAAGACCCGATTGGTAAAACGGAAGAGGTTAAAAACACAATCCTTTGAGGATGCGGTCAACGGTTTGGAGAAAAACTTGGACACACCCAAATAACATGAAGACGAGCAGCACATGCTTTAATATTCCAGATGTATGTGTGTCAAATGTGGCGATGTCAATGGTCAGCCCTCCAGATGTATGTCTGTCAAATGTGGCGATGTCAATGGTCAGCCCTCCAGATGTATGTCTGTCAAATGTGGCGATGTCAATGGTCAGCCCTCCAGATGTATGTCTGTCAAATGTGGCGATGTCAATGGTCAGCCCTCCAGATGTATGTCTGTCAAATGTGGCGTTGTCAATGGTCAGCCCTCCAGATGTATGTCTGTCAAATGTGGCGATGTCAATGGTCAGCCCTCCAGATGTATGTCTGTCAAATGTGGCGATGTCAATGGTCAGCCCTCCAGATGTATGTCTGTCAAATGTGGCGATGTCAATGGTCAGCCCTCCAGATGTATGTCTGTCAAATGTGGCGTTGTCAATGGTCAGCCCTCCAGATGTATGTCTGTCAAATGTGGCGATGTCAATGGTCAGCCCTCCAGATGTATGTCTGTCAAATGTGGCGATGTCAATGGTCAGCCCTCCAGATGTATGTCTGTCAAATGTGGCGATGTCAATGGTCAGCCCTCCAGATGTATGTCTGTCAAATGTGGCGTTGTCAATGGTCAGCCCTCCAGATGTATGTCTGTCAAATGTGGCGATGTCAATGGTCAGCCCTCCAGATGTATGTCTGTCAAATGTGGCGATGTCAATGGTCAGCCCTCCAGATGTATGTCTGTCAAATGTGGCGATGTCAATGGTCAGATGTATGTCTGTCAAATGTGGCGATGTCAATGGTCAGCCCTCCAGATGTATGTCTGTCAAATGTGGCGATGTCAATGGTCAGCCCTCCAGATGTATGTCTGTCAAATGTGGCGATGTCAATGGTTAGCCCTCCAGATGTATGTCTGTCAAATGTGGCGATGTCAATGGTCAGCCCTCCAGATGTTCAGAAAGAAGAAGCTCGGAAGAAGATTAGGAGCGTTCACAGATCAAGTGTTTCAAGTCTTTTGAATGACAGCTCATATTTCTCAAGCGAGAACCGAGCTGGATATGGCGCATTCATAGATTACCTAGGGAACGGAGGTACTCCACCCGAAGAAATTTCAGGGCCCCAGTGGGGAAAATAGCACAGACTTCAATGCAGATCTCGATGTAATCTGGGTCGCCCTGAAACAAGCGCGCCGTCGCCTACCGAGGAGAACAAGCTTGCCGACCACTACGGTCTTCATCGACTCCAAGTTTGGTCATTGAATCTGTGGGAAGCAGCTCGATGACGTCAACAATGGTCATTGAATCTGTGGGAAGGAGCCTGATGACGTCAACAATGGTCATCCATAGCTTCATCGACTCACAGTTTGCTCTTGAATCTGTGGGAAGGAGGTCGATGACGTCAACAATGGTCATCTATGCACATGGCAGCGTGGGCATCCTCCAGAGGGTACAATGTCACGAGGTGAGACAAGAGAGCAGATACACTTCCGCGAGAAGCTGCAGTCCAACACCTAACCTTGATCGGCCAGAGACTCAACTGGGAGTCGAAGCCTGGCTTAAAGATCACTTTAACGGAAAGTGGCTCAACGGTTGCACGGGAAGAGACGCGGCCCGAAAGCTCCCGACGCGACCGAGTAAGATCGATCCCCGGTGGAAATGAAGAAAGCCTTTTTGCATAGATGCTAACTAAGCACTGTCCTACACGAAGCTACCCACAAAGACTCGACTCACATAGGGATCCTAAATGCCGACTCTGCAACACAGCCGCTGAAGCAGTGGTACACCAAATGGTAGAGTGCCCCGTTACATGAGCAGCAGTGTTTTGTAGAGTGCTTTAGTTTGTTTAGAGGACGATGCTTCCTTCCCTGGCGGAGTTTCAAAGTCCATTGATGCGTCATAAACATAAGTATAAAATCGGGATAAACGAACGCGTATTCGTGTTTTAGTGTAATGAACTGTGTATGTGTCAGTGATGCATGTGTATGACCTGTTAAGCTTATGTAATCAGAGATTACTTGTGTGTAGTCCTAGAGATTCTAGACGAGCGCTCTACATATACATTCTGATTTACATGCTTAATTGACTAGCATTCGGAATTTGAAATCTGACGTCACACACACACACAAAATATAAGGTAAGCTTCAGCCCAAGCAATGTCTTACCTTCCACTGTTATTCATTGAACACAACTTGTGAGACACGTCAATCCGGTACAACGTTGTACTTAAGTAATAAAGTATCGAAGAGAAAAAGTATTCGCCTAATACCGACTTGTAGGGGTCAGGGGTCACTTGTTCTGCATTGACAATTAAATCACTACTTCCCTTTCCGTAAGACATTTAAAAAAGAAAAAAAAAAAAAGAACGTATCATGCAGATGTCATCAGCACTTTGCGTAACCAGGTGAGTGTAGAATGACATATGGGTAAGAAAAAAAAAAAAAAAAAAAAAAAAAAAAAGAACGTAGTATGGAGATGCAATCGGCGTTTGGCGAAACGGGGGGGGGGAAGAATGAGAGGGGGGGGGGGGGGGGGCGTAACCCACTCAAGAACATTGCCTCTATTGGTGTGTCCTACACATAATACCAAGAGTGCCCATTTAAATTTATAGCCAGCAGGCACATACAAACATCCGGGTTTTTTAAGATTAAATGAACTGCTTTGTGAAGTTACCACTTAATTGATAACCTATTTATGTCCATCGGGGAATTCTGTAATATAAAGTGAGCTAATTTAGTACCTGGCAATAATGTAACCGCCTAATCTATTTGAAGAGCTGACCTTAGGACCTGACAGTAACGTAGCAGGCTGACCTATTTGGGAACTGACCTTAGGACCTGACAGTAAAATAGCGACCTGACCTATTTGGGAACTGACCTTAGGACCTGGCAGTACATAGCTGCCTGACCTATTTGAAGAACTGACCTAAGAACATGGCAGTAAAATAGCGGCCTGACCTATTTGGGAACTGACCTTATGAGCTGGCAGTAAAGAAAGCAGCACAACATAAAAACAGTAAAACACAGAGTACAGCATAAAAATACCACAAAAAAAAAAACAGTAACGTCTCGAAAGGAATACAGGACACGTTTAATTCAGCTGACAAGCCGGGCATATTAATATCAAGTAGCAGGCGTAAAATGTAGTTCCCAAATAGGTAAGCCCGCTGCGGTACTGTAAGCTTCTTTATGTTTATCTACAAGTTACATTAAGTGATGAAAGAGACAAACCATGTGTGCTGGCAATTGGAAATCTTAATATTGAGCATTGCAGAGATTTATTGTGATCTGACGTCAGTGTGGCCATTGACGTGGGGGAAACTGTCACTGACAGTGTAAATTTCCCACAAATCGGTCACTGACTTCACGGAGTTTTAGGGTTTCAGCGGAAAAAAAAAAGGGGGGGGGGGCGGCACAAAAACGACAGTTCAACAATATTTCTTCCAAACATTCCTTGATCATTTAAGGTTGATGTAAACAATTTTAAGTTACATTAAGTGATGAAAGAGACAAACCATGTGTGCTGGCAATTGGAAATCTTAATATTGAGCATTGGAGAGATTTATTGTGATCTGACGTCAGGGTGGCCATTGACGTGGGGGAAACTGTCACTGACAGTGTAAATTTCCCACAAATCGGTCACTGACTTCACGGAGTTTTAGGGTTTCAGCGGAAAAAAAAAAGGGGGGGGGGCGGCACAACAACGACAGTTCAACAATATTTCTTCCAAACATTCCTTGATCATTGAAGGTTGATGTAAACAATTTGGCTGGCAACGAAACTTGATAAACACTCGATACCCCTCTGCGATCTGCAAAGGGACCTTTATGACTTACAACTTTGATATTCTATGAAGAGATGGGAAAACGGAATTCAAAAGATGTACTATCGACCACATGAATGTGTTTCATAGAGAAGTTTACACGGTAACGCAACACAATCACGTGACACAGCATCTCATGTAATGCAATCCAGGGGGAAAAAACCGTTGCCGTTGTACATTTGAACAAACCATTTACACAAAAAAAATTAAAATTGGAATAAATGAGAGCTTTTCTTTAAAAAAAAACCTGAAACATTATTGCGACAAGTCACACAAGATCTCCTCGGGTATGTTACAACGTCACCACGTCCATTCATCATAATATATCACATAATATGGAAAACATACTTCGCCTCGAAGCTCTCATCCTCAGAATAGCCCAATTTTACGACTACACAGAATAGCCCAGCACCACAATGGCGTTCCTTTGAACTTGACCACCACCCAACATCCACAATGAGAAGTGACACAACACACGGCCAAGGTAACTCAGACACGGCCAAGGTAACTCAGACACGTTTCCTCACGGTTTCACTGGATTATTAATGGCATTATATTCCGTCGTCGCAAGGCTTCTAAATATAGCGCAATATAAAGAGGCCTTTCAAAGAGGGATGATGACTTCCTCTGACAAATAACAGCTGTTGGTGGGAGACGAATGTCATCGTTGGTCTTAATGCACGTGTTCCTAGGAGACAGTGGGGAAATACAAGTGCGAATTATATGGTATGTTACATATGACCCCGGGGGGGGGGGGCGAAATGATGGGTGGGAAGGTTAAAATTAAAACAGATTGTGTACACAGCTTAGTTTTAATGTACATGTTTAACTAGTAATCCACCAAAATTGGTGGCCCAGGATTCACCTATTTCGAACTACAGAACATACCATACACGTTATCACTAGCCGAGTGCATGTTAATGGAATCATTCTAAGGACTTCCATAATGATTGCACTTACATCGGTAATACAGAGCACAGCGACTATTGATAGAAGCACGCAGGGCATGGGAGCTTTAAGACAAGTGGACTGCATTCTTAGCAAACCAAATGCCAGATGCTTGTTTAAACTGATGAAAGTAAATAAAATGGGCAGCTCACCTGTCAAACGTGTCACCTGGGAGTGCTTCATGTATCAATGGTCAGGTTGGTTTAAGTGGGAGATCACCAGCGATCAATCCACGGCTCACAGTAAAGAAATGTCTCCTTGACAGGACCACCACGTCTGAGACCACAACAAGTCTGAATCCTTGACAGGGCCACAAAGTCTGAGACCGCAACAAGTTTGAATCCTTGACAGGACCACTACGTCTGAGACCGCAACAAGTTTGAATCCTTGACCGGACCACTACGTCTGAGACCGCAACAAGTTTGAATCCTTGACAGGACCACTACGTCTGAGACCGCAACAAGTCTGAATCCTTGACAGGACCACTACATCTGAGACCGCAAAAAGTTTGAATCCTTGACAGGACCACTACGTCTGAGACCGCAACAAGTCTAAATCCTTGACAGGGCCACAAAGTCTGAGACCGCAACAAGTTTGAATCCTTGACAGGACCACAAAGTCTGAGACCGCAACAAGTTTGAAACCTAGTGACTTTGTTCATATCTAATGACTACAGACTCTGAACCTAGTGACTTTGTTCATATCTAATGACTACAGACCCTGAGCCTAGTGACTTGGTTCATACCTAATGACTACAGACCCTGAGCCTAGTGACTTTATTCATATCTAATGACTACAGACCCTGAGCCTAGTGACTTTGTTCATATCTAATGACTACAGACCCTGAGCCTAATGACTTTGTTCATATCTAATGACTACAGACTCTGAACCTAGTGACTTTGTTCATATCTAATGACTACAGACTCTGAACCTAGTGACTTGGTTCATATCTAATGACTACAGACTCTGAACCTAGTGACTTTGTTCATATCTAATGACTACAGACTCTGAACCTAGTGACTTTGCTCATATCTAATGACCACAGACCTCGAAGCTAGTGACTTTTTTTCATATCTAATGACTACAGACCCTGAGCCTAGTGACTTTGCTCATATCTAATAACTACAGAACCTGAGCCTAGTGACTTTGCTCATATCTAATGACTACAGACCTCGAAGCTAGTGACTTTTTTCATATCTACTGACTACAGGCCATTTACTTTTTAAACGGCTTGTTTTGACGTTAAAGTACACACAGGCACCGTGCTACTTGATAGTTCCCAACGAAAGCCGCGAAGCAAGTATTTATTGGAAACAACGGACCAGGTCCGGACCTATTGATTGGGTGATTCAGTGCAACCATACTCAAAATAACAAAGACATCAAAGATCTTTGTTTTGTAAGTTGCATCGAGTAGACGAAAACTGACAGGGCGACACAACTGATCACAGTTGGATCACTAAATTCCACATATTGTTCTAGTGGCAGGCAGATCTAGAAGAGAGGACAGAGAAAAAGAAAAAAATCGGTCTAATGAATGTTTTAGGAAAGGTTCAAATAGTTTGCATCATAATGGCTACGACGGTGCCAAATCACAATGGATACCAGAGGTTGTGTAGTTTATAGTTTACCATATAATCAATTTAAAAAAAACATTTATCTTACCCACAAAGCTGAGTTGTGAATTGTTATCTCTATGGATTACTTGGCTGGTTAATGAGATATTTCTCTATATCTCAGGCTGTTCAGTGATACTTGTGGTCAGCTGTCATTTACATTTTCTTTTCGAAACCACAACCGGTAAACACAAAATGCCTCTTTATTCCTAACCATATTAAAGAATCACACGTTACACATTCTTAAACCCTGGTGCAAACCACTAAACCCTGGAATAAACACTGTTGTAAACCCTTAAAAGCTGATGTAAACCATTAAAAACACTGTGTAAAAACTGGTGTCACCTGAGGACAACTGACAAGCTGACAAAAACTGATCACAGTTGGGTCAAGGATTTGATGACATATGTAGATAACATATTTATCGATGTGTTTCCAATCAGATATGTGTCCCTTTAAACCTTACGTCGTCAAATAGTCACGTGATCAATACGACTTTAACAGACGCCTGTTGTACAACATAATTAAATATCGATCTAAAGTTTCACCAAAAGATTACAACGACTTCCTAGTTTACCGCAAGTTTAGCATAAGTTACCATAAGAGCTGTGGACACGTACCCAAAAGATAACTGTGTAGAGTAACGATTATAGTGGAAGACAACAACCTGCAGACACCAGTTTGAAACTTAGTTGACTTACAAGACACAGATGACCCAACAATGCCATTCGTTTAGTCCTACTTAGTAACTTAGCCACCACCAATGTTCCCTTTAAGCTGCGCGGCTGCGCAGTAATCTCACAGACGCCGCGCAGCAACTTTGAGTACCGTTCAGCTAATTCCCACTTAAGGGCGTGTTTGTGTCAGTAGGCTGTAAAATTTGCGCACAAAAAAAATTGATGCTGTAAAAATGTGCACACAAATTTATGATTTTGCACACGAACCAACAAACCTTAGAGGGAACATTGGCCACCGCTGAGGTTCATCCAAAGCCGTACTGCTCTAACACAATACTAACACGAGACACGTCCGAAACCAACCTACAGCCACTCACCGCTACAGCCACTCAACGGCTGTCTAATTCATCATGTGATTAACATAGGTCATCCCATCGACAACTGCTTTATGAACAAGCCTTATGGCGTCCATGAGCTGCTGCTCAATGACTGGATGCTAACTATGCGGTCAAACACGCGTCCCAAAACCTAAACAATACACCTGTCACACGCACAACTCTCAACTTCTGCATGACGACCACCGAGAGAGATTAAAAATATCAGGTGAACACTGGGACGTCCCGCTCACAGACGGGTCAGTGGCTCAGAGCAGCGTTTCTCAATCTATGGGTCGCGACCCCTTTGGGGGTCGAATGACCATTTCAGGGGGGTCGCCTAAGACCATCGGAAAACACATATACCCAACAGTTATAAAGCAGCAACGATAAAAAAAAATGTGTGGTTAGGGGTCGCCACAACATGAGGCTCTGCGTTAAAGGGTCGCGGCATTAGAAAGGTTGAGAACCACTGGCTTAGAGGCTGTGATATAGTTTTAAGGAGCACTTTTTTTTTTTTACATTGCATGTGTTTAGGGGGTTGGGGGTCACTGCATTAATAGGTTGGGGGTCACTGCATTAATAGGTTGGGGGTCACTGCATTAATAGGTTGGGGGTCACTGCACTAATAGGTTGGGGTCACTGCACTAATAGGTTGGGGGGTCACTGCATTAATAGGTTGGGGGTCACTGCATTAATAGGTTGGGGGTCACTGCATTAATAGGTTGGGGTCACTGCATTAATAGGTTGGGAGTCACTGCATTAATAGGTTGTGAGATCACTGCATTAATAGGTTGGGGTTCACTGCATTAATAGGTTGTGGGTCACTGCATTAATAGGTTAGGGGTCACTGCATTAATAGGTTGGGGGTCACTGCATTAATAGTTTGTGAGATCACTGCATTAATAGGTTGTGAGATCACTGCATTAATAGGTTGTGAGATCACTGCATTAATAGGTTGTGAGATCAATGCATTAATAGGTTGTGAGATCACTGCATTAATAGGTTGTGAGATCACTGCATTAATAGGTTGTGAGATCACTGCATTAATAGGTTGTGGGATCACTGCAATAATAGGTTGTGAGATCACTGCATTAATAGGTTGTGGGATCACTGCATTAATAGGTTGTGAGACCAACTTTTCCAATCATAGGTGACAAGCTTCTCAGTGTCAGCCTACAAGGGCGTACTGGGAAGTAGATGTCTGCATGGCCAAGGGCGTACTGGGAAGAAGATGTCTGCATGGCCAGGGGCGTACTGGGAAGAAGATGTCTGCGTGGCCAAGGGCGTACTGGGAAGAAGATGTCTGCGTGGCCAAGGGCGTACTGGGAAGAAGATGTCTGCGTGGCCAAGGGCGTACTGGGAAGTAGATGTCTGCATGGTCAAGGGCGTACTGGGAAGTAGATGTCTGCATGGTCAAGGGCGTACTAGGAAGTAGATGTCTGCATGGTCAAGGGTGTAATGGGAAGAAGATGTCTGCGTGGCCAAGGGCGTACTGGGAAGTAGATGTCTGCATGGTCAAGGGCGTACTGGGAAGAAGATGTCTGCGTGGCCAAGGGCATACTGGGAAGTAGATGTCTGCATGGCCAAGGGCATACTGGGAAGAAGATGTCTGCGTGGCCAAGGGCGTACTGGGAAGAAGATGTCTGCATGGCCAAGGGCGTACTGGGAAGAAGATGTCTGCGTGGCCAAGGGCATACTGGGAAGTAGATGTCTGCATGGCCAAGGGCATACTGGGAAGAAGATGTCTGCGTGGCCAAGGGCGTACTGGGAAGTAGATGTCTGCATGGTCAAGGGCGTACTGGAAAGAAGATGTCTGCATGGCCAAGGGCGTACTGGGAAATAGATGTCTGCATGGCCAAGGGCGTACTGGGAGGTAAATGTATGCATGGCCAAGGGCGTACTGGGAGTTAAATGTCTGCATGGCCATGGGCATAGTTGGAGATAGAGGTCTGCATGGCCAAGGGCGTACTGGGAGGTAAATGTATGCATGACCAACAGCGTTCTGGGAGGTAGAAGTCTGGCCAAGGGCGTGCTGGGAGGTACATGTCTGGCCTAAGATATATATATACTATGCCAATGGGCAGGCATTTTACAATCATAAATTTACCATAAAGAGCTACCACAATGGGACCTCAATAAAGATGAGTTTTGACCACCCTTACCAAACGCGCTAGATGCGCCACTGGGCCTCTACGACAGTCATGTGTCCTCCATCTGCTTCCCGAGTTGATAATTTATTTTTTCATAGCAAACACGTCATCGCGTGCACAATAAAAACATTTTGGCCCAGCAAGCGGTTAAATAAATACTAGGGGGGTTAACGGTGCTATAATAAAATAAATATGAACATACCATTGCCTGGGTCAACTTGTCCAGTCAGTATCAGCGTATCCTCCTCAGACATGGCCACACAATCAGCTCTTGAAATTTGCACACTTAGAAAAAACACCCAAATGAATGGAGTCTCTCAAGACCGGTCCACCGACTACTAGTACAAAATTTGAACTCATCATGTACTGACAATGTGAAGGAGGCTTCTACGCATAACTCCACAACATACTCAAACTGAACCCCAGAGGTCTCGATGCCTGCATGCAGAGTGGACGTTATAGAAAGGTTCACTCATCAATGCCTCACAGAGAGGTTCACTCATCAATGCCTCGCAGCCTCGCAGAGAGGTTCACTCATCAATGCCTCATAGAGAGGTTCACTCATCAATGCCTCACAGAGATGTTACAGTTACAAACACGCCACAAAAACACTTCGAAGAATGAGTTGTAGTTTTTTTTTTCCCCATACAAAGCTCGTCAATTCGACCTCACGTATTCGCGGCGAGGGTTCGAAACAGGGTCAAGGTATTATTAAGGCACGGGTTCCGGTTTACAGCAGAGGGTAACGGGAAAACCCCTCGTGCTATAAATATATATATATAGGTACAGCTCGCTAAAACCATAGGATTCAACACTACAACAAGCGAAGTATCGAGTCGTGATCGAAGACTTTTGTATTGGAAAATGGTTGTTATCAATGTCATTAACACTCATTGAGGTATTGAATGAACTGCGGTGACGCTATCAAAGTAAGTTCAAAACATTTGAGTTTAGAATTTGAAAAAAAAAAAAAAAAGATAGCACTACGAGACTACGAGATGAGATTCCCTTTTTTTACTTCTGCATATCGCAAACAAATGAACGGACTCGTACTGGGTAGTGTTAAAACCTGCAACATGAAAACGTAGTTTCATACATTCATACATTTCGTACATTCCAAGACTTCCGAATGATTTTAAGGCGCCGTGCACATATAACATGACATAACGCAAAAATATCAAATTTTACCACCCTTACACCTTATTACTTTACATAGACATAACATTTCCACTGACCAGTCCCCTACCCTTTTTCATATCATTATAAAATAACATATCAACAACCATCCCTTACCCCGATAAAACCGAAAAAAGTCTCGAAAGAGTCAAATTGCCTACTAACAGCCGGAAAAAAATGTTTTACACAAATGTGCTCAATGCTGCAGGCGAAAAAAACTTTTTTTAAAAATTTAATAATCATTTATGCTAATTTTGGAAATTTGAAAAGAAGAAATTTAGCAAAAATAAGAATGAATCAAAATTTTTTTAAAATGATTTTTATATAACATTGCTCTCTATCACCACACCCCATATAACATTGCCCTATAATACCCTTAATTCATGTAACATTATTGCTCTCCACTCCACATAACATTGTTCTATACCACTCCCACTCCATATAACATTGCTCTGTACCACCCCTACTCCATATAACATTGGTCTTTACCACTCCCACTCCATATAACATTGTTCCATACCCCCCACTCCATATAACATTGTTCTATACCACCCCTACTCCATATAAAATTATTGCTCTCTACCACTCCACTCCGCATAACATTGTTCTATACCACTCTCACTCACAGTGGGATACAGGCGCTCACATTGGGATACAGGCACTCACAGTAAGGATACAGGCACTCACATTTGGATACAGACACTCACAGCGGGATACAGGCACTCACAGTGGGACACAGGCACTCACAGGAGGATACAGGCACTCACAGTGGGATACAGGCACTCAGAATGAGAATTCAGGCACTCAGAGTGGGAATAACATATAGACAGCCTACACGCATTTCTTTGTTGGGCGGATTACACAGAATTGAGAATAAGTTTAATATTTGATCAGACATTTAAACTTATAAAAATCATAGCGACTGATATCAAATAACTTTGATGCGTATCTTTTATGATGATTGGTGAACTTCAACCAGATAAATAAAATTAATGAGGCATCAATCTCATATTTTTACATGTTTACTGATTCCAATGACGACATAACAGTAACTGATGACATAACAGTAACAGACCAGTGATGCCATATTTCACAGTGGTTTCTCAACCTAAAGCTATTTTAAATTTTGACCTTTCCTTTGAATGTGTACTTTAGCCCTATCTGTTGTGTCTCCTTTTCAAATAGATGGCCTGTATTCGAACTACGAGTACTAAGCAAGGGGGAAAATAGGCCTATTGTGGATGGGACATTAAAAATTAAAAAAAATATGGGGGTTAGGGAAGGGGGGCGTGCATAGCTAAAATAAAGGACTCAAAACTTTTAAGGTTTCATACCTGTGGAGTATAGCCCCCATAACCACTCTGGGTGGATATGTCTTTACGCAATCATTTTTAATAACTGTATCCGGTTTTGGGTATTTCTTTCAATTTGACATATTTGGGATTCATTCGTTCCCTCCCTCGCACCACACACCTCGACCAATGATTCAGTCGTCTGCTGCAAAGACAAAGCTATTACCTATGACCTTTCTGATGTCTCCACCACCTAATTACCTATGACCTTTCTGATGTTTCCACAACTTAAATACCCATGACCTTTCTGATGCCTCCAACACCAAATTACCCATGACCTTTCTGATGTCTCCACCACCAAAATACCTATGACCTTTCCGCATGTCTCCACCACCAAATTACCTAATGACCTTTCTGGTGTCTCCACCACCAGATTACCTATGAACTTTCCGCACGTCTCTACAAACAAATTACCTATGACCTTTCCGCATGTCTCCACAAACAAATTACCTTACGAAGAATATGTACCAAGAATAGTGCTCCTATATTTTCACAATGCCATTAAATGTCATAACAAACAGGAGCAATAGCTTAATTTTAAAGATCTATGCTGACCGTTAGGAAATATTGACAAATTCACATTATGCTGACCATAAGAAAATATTGACAAATTCACATTATGCTGAACATCAGGAAATATTGACAGCTTCACATTATGCTGACAATTAGGAAATATTGACAATTTCACATTATGCTGACTATTAGGAAATAGCGACAAATTCAGACTATGTTAACCAAAAGGAAATAATGGCATATTCAGACTATGTTTATCATTTGAAAATAATGACAAATTCTGACCATGTTTACCATTAGAAAATAATGACAAATTTTGAGTATTTTAAAACATAAGGCAAAAAATAACACTAAGTGAAATGAACTCGAACATTGATGAGAGAATTTTATCAAAAGAACAGATTTAGTTCAGCTGCACCAATATGAGAGGTTAAAAATAGGGGAAAATTAAACTAACCAGGCATTGCTGTCTCTTGGAAGACGAAAAGATTAGTGGAACCAAAAGAAATAGTAATAAGGGACGTAACTTTTTAGCTGTAGAAACATACATTGTGGTGAAATGGAAATGGTTTGAGAAGGGGCAGTCACCTTTAAACTGAATTTCTTAAACTGTTGTCCCATGAAATGCCTTTCCTGTGCAATTTTATTGCATGCATTTAAATACTTTAATATATGAAGTGGTCAATAGCCTACATCGGACAAGCAAAATGAGGTACATTGACATTAAAGGGATCCTTTTCTCAAAACAAAACCATTACAGCACCATTATAGGAAATGTTACATCCACTAACATTACATATCCCCCCCCCCCAAACTTAGGGACACTCACTAATCACACAAAATTTAATTAAATGCTAAAGGTCTGATATCATTAATTTTGCAATCTCTATCTAGTGTCATTCCCTTTCATGACTCATAGGATTTGAGAGTAGTAGGTAGGTATAAGAAGGGTTTTGGTGACAGGAGCTATGTGATGACATAAAGGATGCAGAGAAGTAGGTAGGTATAGCTTGTGTAACAGGTACTATGTTACGTGTAAGGTGATTATTGACGAAAAATATTTTTCAAGGTTATACTGATCTGAGTCTGGGAGAAAATCTGACACAGAGTCATTAGTGGAAGGAAGAAGTAAAACAATTGCAATGAATAAATTACAGTGCAAGAAGACCTCTAGATACGCAATTTTTTTAAATTTTAAGCAAACTGAATAGAAAATTATTTCATTTTTCATTTGACTCTTTGGAAGTCAGGCAAAATTTTAATTAAAATAAAAAAAGGTCAACTTTTTAAAGTAAATATAAACCTGTCTTCTGAAGGCTTTGTCTGAGGCTGCATCAAGGTTTGATTGAGTAGGAATCAGGTATGTTTTCTTTAACCGAGTGCATTGCCTTAGGTCGTAATTCTTCTTCTCTTTATCTTCCAGTTTGATAGAGTTAATGTACAGGCCAAAATCTGTTGCTGAAGACCTGGTCGGTTGACGTATTTTTCGCACTCCTCAAAACTTAAATTCCCCTCTATTAACAACTTTTTGTTGTGTCAGCTATTCAGTAGGGTCATCATTCTGTATAATTCAATAATAAATTAATTATTTTTTTTTCCTTAAATATTTTAAGTATCTTTAGCCTTTCTTCTAAATGTAATTTGGAGACCTTAAATATTTATTGGCTTTAACAATAATTTTGAGCTTTGAAATACTTTGAAAAAATACTAGAGAGGGTCTTTATAAAAAAAAATAATTTATTACCGGTAGCTAAATGGTTACCTAAAAAGATGACTTGCGCCAGACTTATTTTGCTAATTTTCTTTTTCATCATTCAGCAAAGATTGATTTTGAAATAAAAAAACTCTGAAAGGATTGACAGATGATTTTGGACCAGATGTGTGGGTATTACATACCCAAAACATAAGGCTGAAAGGAACTGTTAGAATGCTACAAAAATACAGTGAGAACATACCCATTATAAAATCAATTCATGATGTTAGCTTCTGGGGTTAGCTTCTGAATAAAGTTTCTACACTATTTATTAGTCACAAGCTATATTAGATCTTTCCGAAAACCAAGCAGTGGAAAATGTAAACATGTTGCATAAAATTTACTGCATTTTATGTGGTTTAATTATAAGTTGGAGAATGAGAATTTAAAGGAAAAAGAAGGTGGTAGATTTTATTAGAATTTGAAGGAATTTCATAATTAGCAACAACAAGTTTAAGAGCTCTTTTCTGAGGAGTGAACATAGGGCCTTTCAAAGACAGAGCACCACATCTATCCCTAACAGTAGATGCATAGTGAATATGAGTTTGAGATTGTATTATAAATTGGTAAAATATTAACTTTAGGCCTACTATTATTTTCCTTAACTACCATGTAGCTTACTTGGTGGTAGATACCGATAGACCATACTTATACTCCACTTTAGTAATAATTAGTAATATTTAATAGTAGTAAGCAATAATAAAGTAATTCACTGAATTTGAATTATACATATTTGAATATTATTTACATTCCATTTTCACATATTACTAGGTTTTGTCTATGTTTTTATGATTTTACAGTAAAGAGTACACAGTAACAGTACAAGTACAGACATCAGAATCGGACAGTTATGATGTTATGGGATTACTATTACAGTCGCTGCTAGTTTATTGTTAAAAATGGAAATGAGTGAAACAAATTATGAGTGTAGGCATGGGGGAAAAAAATGAAAAAGGAATGCAACAAAACAACGAAATGGGTTTTTTTTGTAAGAAGCCTAAGATTTAGTAAGAAGCCTTCATCAGCTTACAAACAACAGTAAAAGAAGAATTAAATAAAAATAACAATTAGCTGAAATGAAATATAGTATCCGATTGTCTCACACAATCCTCTTGATGCCTTCTCGGATACTACATCTCAGCTAAGTGTTATTTTTATTAAATTCTTCTGCACAAATATAATAAAAATAAGTTTAAGTTGCTTTTTTTTTTTAAGAGTAGTTTCTGTTTTATCCTAATGGCCTAATGCCTAATTCCTAACCAACGAAAGAAACTTCATTAGTCTAGTCAGTATTGAATGAATACAATCTAAGTTTATCCATCATATTAACAACTTTACCATTTTTCGAATTTATTTTTAATGAAGAAAATAATCACGATTGCGGCTATTAAACACAAACAACTCCTAACTTCTAGGACGCAGACATTGTTGACACTCATTTGACATTGCGGTATAACAAAATACTTATCCATTAATATATTTTTTAACTTTAAAAAAATAAGATCTTTCAAAGGGGGGATAACTATAATATTGTTGTTTTTTTTTGTTGTGTTTCATTTTTTTTAAGCTGTTCCATAATATTGGTCTTAATAATCACTGATTAAATGTAACGAGCCAACACAAAAAAAGAGAACTATAGTTCAGCGACAGGCATAAAACAGATGTGGGGAAGGGGACNAAACCATTGAAAATGTGTCTTAAAATGGCGTTGCTGACCTCACCTGCTTGAGTGTTGTACCTTGGATTAAAATTAGGGACATTTTAAGGAGTGGAAGGGGGTCGCAAACGGGGGGAGGGGGTCCCATTGCACCATAGCCGCTTTAGGGAGCATAAGGGGGGGGGGCGTCACTAGGCATCAGAACCATTTTCAGAAGTATGAGGGGTGTCCCCAGCATCAGCAGATGCGTAGCTGAGAGGAACAGGGGGGAGGTCAGAGTTCTCCGGGGGGCCAGACTACTTAGGGGCGCCAAAATTGATGAAAATAATGTCTTTCGGAGTAACAGAGGGGCGTCAAAATGAATATTGTCACCCGACGCCCAACACTCTAGCTACTCCTCGGGGTATCAGAGCCTAGTCTTTAGGACAGTAACTATACATTTAGCATGATTTCCGTCTACATCTTTCCATATGAAATCGCATGACTTTTTTTTAAATGTATAAATCTAGTTCTAATCTTCATTGCGTACAACACCAATATTAATAGGACTGTGTTTCTGACAAATGGATCAACCATTGTTCGTTTCAGTTTCTAATAAATGTTCATGTTTGTATTGTTAACTTGTTCATGTTTGTATTGTTAACTTGTTCATGTTTGTATTGTTAACTTGTTCATGTTTGTATTGTTAACTTGTTCATGTTTGTATTGTTAACTTGTTCATGTTTGTATTGTTAACTTGTTCATGTTTGTATTGTTAACTTGTGATTAAACATTGAAAATAAGATTGCCATGATTAAATGTTAGTCTCTTTCTTATATCACCGATAGCCCAACACTGGACGGGCCAATGTGATGACATATAGGCCAACACTGGACCGACCATTATGATCATATATATGCCAACACTGGGCGGACCAAGTGAATTAGGATCACATGGGTATTACAATAATTACGTTTCAATTTAAACACAAACTTTTTAACTTTTAAAAAAGCTTTTTAAAAAAATGTAACACTCTTTAGAAATGATGTAAGATGTTTGATACACGCAGGCAGTGAAGGCTTGTGTACAGTAATAACACAAAAATGCGATCATGGAACTGTGTCCTTCATAGTTCCAGTGATGCTGAGTTTGGTTGTTACGTGCATGCGCACACATCAAGGGCAAGAAGGGGACCCACGGTGGAGAGACGCACTGTCGCTCACGCAGTTCCAATTTTGTATCAGTGCGTGTCCTTCTTTAGTCTCTCATACTTTAATAAGAATTTCTGAATGTAATGAACTGTACATGATGACCGGAACACTTATATTTACGTTAAAAATGATGTCTTCGTGCAGGCTGCTATCATTATACATTTCTTCCTATGGCTTTCGTTTTGCTTAATATTAATTAAAACGATGGCTTAAAATTTTCCGAAGCAGCACCCCCCCCCCCCACTCTCCCCCAACTAATTTAACTCAGCAGCCGACACTGCCACAGGTTATGAATGCTGTTGTGATATAAAGAAGTGCATCTTGTCTGTAAAATAACTCGCACTAACCTGAAGCTTGACGTGATTTCGCTATTCGGCGATTTGGCGATTCTTTCACTTGGCGCACTCTCCTAAACCGGACATTTTCTTCCATTCTATCTTCAACGCGAAAATCCCACCACAATAGATTAAACAATGTTCTTCGTCCTTGGGCTCAGTGCACCAATCAGAAATGTAACAACATAAGACTGAATAGCAACATGTGTAAGAAATAAAAATCAGTTTTATCATTTGAACATGTCATGCCACGACAGCACTCTCGCGTGTGATGCCACTAACACTGACAGTATTCAACGCAAGGTAACTTGACCGGTGATCACTTGAAAAATCTCCCTGAATCCTACTCAGTTTACTCTTCCAACCCCAATTCAAGTCATTGGAAATAAACAACCATCCTTTCATGTATGATTTGAACTAAATATCTTTGTCACACACGTCAACTAGCTAGCTACTGCCCCAATTCAAATAGACACACACACACATACACTCATGAACAAGTGCACAAAAAAAAACAACAATCACTTCCTACTTACAATCACCAGTTGATGATAGAAGTACTTTTCCTCCACGAGTGACTTTTAAATGTGAATGTGATCTCTTGTACCGTGTAGGGACGGGCATTCTCCCAGTACAAAATAGACACAGTTATTTCCCCCGTTTACTCCGAAGCGTACGCTTAGGTCCTATGCGCCACCCGGGATTAGTTGGCTAAAGTCCTATTATGTCTGTGAACTTGTGATGTCAAGAGGAACACCGACACACGCCAAAAGAAGGGCTCGCTACCGAGTCAGCGATGTCATTCGCACGGGCCTATACTTCTTTTCCCCATGATCGACCTTTAGCCTTAACCTATACAGTACTGATGGACGGTTTGACAATGTCATTGCATTTGTTAAATAGACCAGTGGTAGAAGTGACCGTTGAACCCAGGCCCATGCCGCATCAACCGGTAGCGGCAAGAGACTTTTAATTACCACCGTAACATTATGTCCCAAAGCGGGGGTGCAAATTTATAGAACGGGTGGAAGTAAGGTCGGAACAAGGGAGGGGGGTGGTTAAAGTGGAAAGGGAAAACGGGGGCGGGGTGGGGGGGGGGCTGACGATTCATTTCCAGATAAAACCAGAGACGTGGTGGGTACCAACAGGCGACTTCGTAAAGCATATGGTCTCAGTTTGTTGTTAGTCTCCACGGTCATCAGCGGCGTAGGCCAAGGAAGAGTCACGCGCGGGCGCCACCACGAGGTTGTGTTTCAATCATTGAGAGTTGAAATATTTAATCGCATAAATAATTATCATCATTTGTCCGAACCGGACTAGAAAAAAAAATTGTGAATGTATCAAGGGGAATTTTTGTGACGTAAGCTCTCCGTAAACTTTGGCTCGCTCAATGTGCAGCTATGAAAATGGAGCTGATTTGTTTCGCTCTTTGTCGGGATTGTTCTGCCTGTTATGAATCAATAATCTTTCAAATAATTGAACCATTAACCAAGATTCCGGCCGGAAACAGGGCGTACCTCAGGATTACCTAATACTCAAGAGTAAAAAAAATTACAAGAAAAACAAACAAAACTTGGACCCTAACAAACACGGCAGAAAACCTGTTTAACACAAGGGAGAGAAAAGTTATCCGGAAAATATATGGACCAACACAGGACCGTCTTAACAACATAGGAGGCCCTGGGCACAGCAATGCACTGGGGCCTCCTAGCAACACAATATACCTGGGCCTTGAGAAGCGGGGCAAAGGGGGGCACTCGCCCCATACTCAAAAAGTGTGTGTGTGGGGGGGGGGAGGTTGTAAATAAAAATAAACATTCAATAAGTTAAACTTCGATGAATTCAATTTATTGATTGAAAAAAAAAATCATTCAAAATTATTATTCTTTGTCTTGAGGGCCCACGATCAATGAATTGATCATTCTGGCTCCTATGTTTCAGAGGGGTTCGCGATGTTACTGTGCATGATTTTCAAGGAGATAATTCACTGGTTGCAAGGGCTACTTAGCAGTGGTGTTATGAACTGGAGGTTGGAATACAGGAGGCAATAGACACAAATGTGTCGAGTGTAGCCGCCTCAACTGTTGCTTTTGGAAGCTTGTTCCAGTCCCCTATTGTCTTTGGCAGGAATCAATAAAAGTTTTAAAACGTTATCAGAAATAAACTAAAATAATTATCGACATATAGATACAATAAATTATTTAATATAATCAACATAATCGTTTGCCTAATTTTTTTTGTAGAGAATTGTTTCATTATTGGTTTAAAGTCAATGGTTTAAGGATGTCATTTTCCATGCACATAAGTGAAAGCCGATTCAAACGTTTTTGTACCATTGTACTGCGAAGCTGATCAAAACCCCCCTTTTTTTTTCGTTTATATCTGGGAAAACTAAAACTTGTTGACGAGAGTTATTTCCCTTTAAAAGTTTTAAAATTGTCCAACTTTATTCGCCTTTAATAAAATTGTTATATTATTAATTTTGGAATGGGCTGATATATATTGTGGGTTAAATTGTCAAAATCTTTAAATATTTATTACAAATATGTAAAGCATGTGTTATGTAGGACGTGTTTACGTCACACTTTCCTCTTGCCGTGAACTCGGTTTGACCCTAAATTAGACTGCGTTCGTATTGGGCGTGGCCTATTTCTTTTGATCTTTTTTTTAAACCACAAAACAATCTATCGCTTATTTGTCTTGACTCGAATGTGGAACGAAATTGTAGTAAATTATAGAGATTTGGAGAAGATTCGAGCCACGACTACAATGTATATTCTGCCCGCGAATCTTCTTAGAAACACGCGATACCCAATAACAAATGATGCTTCTATAAGAGTGAGACTTCTAGAAACGTGGGGCCCCCTACAAGCGCAGGGCCCTGGGCCAGTTCCCACTGGGCCCATGTCTTAAGACGGCACTGGAAGGATGAATATGGATGGAGAATACGAACTAGCTAGGAATTGTACGGTCTAAATCAGGATCCCACAGTAGTAGCAGAAATAAAAAGGTCAGGCTACGCTAGGCGGGGAACTTTTTAAAAAAGCCAAATGACAGAGGAGTGAAGAGGGCGCACCACCAAAACCTCAGAGGAAAATGGCTCAAAAGACCTAGGATGAGATTGATATATGATGTGGAAAATGATCTACAGCAGCTGGGATTCAAAGCATGAAAAAGAAAAGCATTAGTTAGGGCTGAGTGGAAGGAATTAGTGAGGCAGGCCAAAGCCCTACATGGGCTGTAGCGCCACAGCGATGGATGGAACCAAGATTCCAGGGAACAGGAAGTGATTACTTCTACTGTGAAACTGTCATGTCTTCTGAAGGGAATCTAGAGAACTAAAATAATGTGTTTCTACATTGAACGGGGAAAATAGGGTAAATCCAAAAAAAGACTTTACAACGCAAACGGATACGCCCCTGATGGGCCACGACCGACCGTAACAAACACTCCCCCCTTCCACCCATGCTTTGTTTTTTTTTATTTATTTCTTCAGCTGACATGTCCAACAATATTTTAATCCATTCTTCACAGCCGTGGTACCACGTGACTATCTCCAGCTGAAACATCTTAGGGCACCGTGACCGGGATGGCATAATTACATCCATATATTCCATTCTGATGCACAGTTCCTCAATATGCCATATTAGTACATACATCTAAATACAAAAAAATGTAAAAACTGAATCTTGTACCCTAATTTAATTATGCGTTAAATGAGCACGGCTAAACTATGTTAAATGAAGAGAACATCTTCTAGGTCAGTGATTCTCAACCTTCCTTAGACCGCGACCTTTTAATACAGTTCCTCATGTTGTGGTGACTAGCAACCATAAAATTATTTTCGTTACTACTTCATAAATATGTATTTTCCGGTGGTCTTAGGCCATCCTTGTGTAAGGGTCGTTCGACCCCCCAAAGAAGTCGCGACACACATGTTGAGAACCGCTGTAGTGGGTACTGAAAGAAAATGCGTCTTTTAAGGTTAAAAGCTGTCGGTACGCGCCGGACGAAGCTAAAAGCAGACAATGTTAGTGTGGTCGACATGAAATAAGGCAGGTCGTCAAAATATCACCAAATGTTATGTAACACATTTCTTGAGACTGCTCTCAGCTAATCAGCCAACCCTATTCCAACTGATAGAAGTAGACAATGTAAATGTACTTTAGATTAGCACAAGGATTCAAGCGAAGGAGAAGGGGGGGGGGGGGAAAACCCGGAGGCCCAAAATAGGGGGTTGTGTATGTGTTACAGATGAGACGAAGAAAGGGCTGGGGGGGGGGTGTTGGAGGGTTGCACATTTTCCTTCACTTGGTCTCCCTGGATTTACAAGTCTTTCAGAGTGAGAGAGGTAGACTTTCAGAGTGAGAGAGGTAGACTTTCAGAGTGAGAGAGGTAGACTTTCAGGGTGAGAGAGGTAGTCTCTCAGAGTTAGAGAGGTAGACGTTTCTCCTTGTTTAGTAGCTCCGTATCTTGTGGTTACGCAACATTGTGATTTGTTTCGTGTTCTGAATACATGAACTCGTTTAAGGCCCCTGTCACATACAAAGATAGATACGGAGGGCAAGTGGGTGTATCAGGGACAATAAGAGGTGGTTAATCTATATTATAATCAGTCCAACATGGTCCTTAAAAGATTGACTTGAACTTTAAAAAAATGGAAAGAAATGATTATTTTACAGATATACTAATGCTTGTTACGCCTTGTCATTGGCACACTCTAGTCAGGCCTACCGTGTAAAGCCTTGTGTATTGGCACACTCTAGCCAGGCTTAAGTGTAAAGCCTTGTTGTTGTCACACTCTAGTCAGGCTTAAGTGTAAAGCCTTGTTATTGGCACACTCTAGTCGGGCTTACACATGACGCCTTGTGTAGTTTATTCTAGACATTATGTGTTTTATTTGGACATGTCCATGAATGTTTGGTCCGTAAACTGTGACATAACACTGGGGGAGGGAGGGGGGGGGAGATGCGAACAGGTTTGATGTGAATAGAAGAACACTGAAGACACAATTAACAGGAAATACCTTTGAAAACAAATGGTCCAGAACGAGACGGTGTTATTCAAGCATGTAGAATCATGCAAGTCAATTGAAGACTTTATCCTTATACTATACACCATATGATACCATCACACATCCAATGTGATAAGGGCACATACAAAATGACACTGACACACATACAATATAATATGACACCGGCACACATACATTATGACACTGAAACACACACGCTAAGACACATGTCTATTTGTTGAGAGGTTACTTTACAATACATTTAGTAACTACTCGTGTGAGTCCTTCCAGACACATTGGGTTGGTGACCTTTCTTGAGACCCGCTAAAGGTTAAACATGCAGATGTGCTGTGCCATTTGACTTCCGACTTTTGTCAGCTTTTTAATTAGCCAATCATTTGACAGCTTGTTATTTAGCCAATCATTTGACAGCTTTTTATTAGCCAATCATATGACAGCTTGTAAATAAGCCAATCATTTGACAGCTTGTTAATAAGCCAATCATTTGGCAGCTTCTTAATTAGACAATGATTTCACAGCTTGTTAATAAGCCAACCATTTGACAGCTTGTTAAGTAGCCAATCATATGACAGCGTGTCAATAAGCCATTTATATGTAGCGGAGTTGCCCAAAATTGAACCAACCATAAAATTGTTGTCATTAAACATTGCTCATGTGTTCTTTGTTAACTTATTAAGACATTATTCTATAAATAAACCTTCGCTACGTCATGTGTCTGAATCAAAAGGGGAAGCTATACATCTTAACAGATGTTAATGTGGAAACGAGACAAATGATAAAAACATGTGTTTGTATACGCCAATCTACCGGTGTTTGAAACATATGACTA